TGGGGGGCGGGGGGAATGGGGGGCGGGGGGGCGGGGGGATGGGGGGCGGGGGGCGGGGGGGCGGGGGGATGGGGGGCGGGGGTGCGGGAGAATGGGGGGTGGGGGGGCGGGGCTCTCAAGACAACGTCGCCCCCCCCCCCCACCCATAATCCGACTTTGCCGAATCTCTCGCTCCACGTGTGTTGTGAAAACTTTGTTGTTATTGTTGTTGTGTTGTTGTTATTGTTTGTTTGTGCTGCTTTTTGGTTTGGTGTCATTTCTTAATTTATTTATTTTGGATTTTTTTTCCGGTATTCGTAAAAGGATGGGGGGGGGGTTGATATTCTTTAGTGTTTTCGGTAAAGTCACGTAGGTAAAACATCAAAATTAATAAAAATAATAAAATAAAATAAAGATCACGACGTTTCGGAGGCAACACAAGTCTCCGTCATCAGGTGGGACCGTCACAGCCAGATTAGCTGCATCAAGTGAGGTAATGATTCAAGATGTAATCCCTGAAAAGCGAGTTGAGGGGGGAGGAGAGGGGGGGGCTCATCAGAATGTGGTAGCCAATGAATGGAACGTATCGGGAGAGAGGGGCCAAAAAAGGGTGGGTGGGGGGGGTTGATTTACTTGGTAAGGGGCCGTCCATAAATGACGTCACGCAACCTAGGGGGGGGGGGGTCAGACATTTGTGACGAGGGGGGGGGGTGAGAAATGTGACGTCACATCAAAATGCGCAACTTTGAATAAATATAGACAACGCGTTCTACTTAATTAAATAGACTTTTTAATAAATGTTTTCTCCTACAACATCAGAGTGCAGCGCCACATTAAATACGCACTACAATAACAATAGTTTAAAGCGATTTGAAGCATGTTTTATTTTGGGTGGGGGGCCGGGGGGCAGAGCTTTGTGACGTCATATTTGAGGGGGGGGGTCTGACTTTTTGTGACGTCGTGTGACGAGGGGGTCAAAAATCGTCCAAAATCGCGTGACGTCATTTATGGACGGCCCCTATGGGCGCCACGGTGGCTAGGAGATGTTAACTACCTCGCCTGGTGTACAGGAGGTCGTGGGTTCAATCCCGACCCTGACGCCTGCTGCTGTATATTTTGAGTTTTCGTCTCTCTCTCATCATCATCATCACGGTGGCTACGAGATGTTAACTACCTCGCCTGATAAACAGGAGGTCGTGGGTGCGATCCAGACCCTGACGCCTGCTGCTGTGTATTTGGAGTTTGCGTGTCTCTCTCTCTTCTCCTCGTGGTCGCGTGGATTTTTGCTCCGGGTCCTCCACTATTTCCCTCCACGTTTAGAATCGACTTCGCGACGCGTTTAGAGTCATTCGGCCGCTGCTGTACATGTCCACGTGATGGCGATGGTGGTGGTGACGATGGTGATGGTGGCGATGGTGGTGGTGGCGATGGTGCTGGTGGCGATGGTGGTGGTGGCGATGGTGGTGGTGGCGATGGTGGTGGTGGCGATGGTGGTGGTGGTGGCGATGGTGTTGGTGGTGGCGATGGTGGTGGTGGCGATGGTGCTGGTGGCGATGGTGGTGGTGGCGATGGTGGTGGTGGCGATGGTGGTGGTGGTGGCGATGGTGGTGGTGGCGATGGTGCTGGTGGCGATGGTGGTGGTGGCGATGGTGGTGGTGGCGATGGTGGTGGTGGCGATGGTGGTGGTGGCGATGGTGGTGGTGGCGATGGTGCTGGTGGCGATGGTGTTGGTGGTGGCGATGGTGGTGGTGGCGATGGTGCTGGTGGCGATGGTGGTGGTGGCGATGGTGGTGGTGGCGATGGTGGTGGTGGCGATGGTGGTGGTGGTGGCGATGGTGTTGGTGGTGGCGATGGTGGTGGTGGCGATGGTGCTGGTGGCGATGGTGGTGGTGGCGATGGTGGTGGTGGTGGCGATGGTGGTGGTGGTGGCGATGGTGGTGGTGGCGATGTGCTGGTGGCGATGGTGGTGGTGGCGATGGTGGTGGTGGCGATGGTGGTGGTGGCGATGGTGGTGGTGGCGATGGTGGTGGTGGCGATGGTGGGGTGCTGGGCGATGGTGGTGGTGGCGATGGTGTGGTGGCGATGGTGCTGGTGGCGATGGTGGTGGTGGCGATGGTGGTGGTGGCGATGGTGGTGGTGGCGATGGTGGTGGTGGTGGCGATGGTGTTGGTGGTGGCGATGGTGGTGGTGGCGATGGTGCTGGTGGCGATGGTGGCGGTGACTATAATCTACTTGATCGAGCTTTCATTTGTGAGAGCCCAGGAGGTCGCTCCACGTAGCTCAGCGGGTCTTACACCTGGTGACATCCAGAGTGAGTTCATAGAGTGAGTATCTTGATAATTGTTTTTAAACCTTCTATCTGGCAACAAAACTGACATCTTTTTACAAGGAGTCATGTTTGCATTGACCACAATACCTGCAGCCATAATGCAAACATAAAACATAACTGTGATAATGTGAGCACTGTCCTTGAAGTTGATTGGTCCACACCCGAGACAGCTTTCCTTAGAGCCTAGTCTCACATGGGTTGGACCAGATGACGCCAAAAGGCGCCTTTTGGCGTCATCTGGTCCAACACCATGTGAGACTAGGCTCTAAGGAAAGCTGTCTCGGGTGTGGACCAATCAACTTCAAGGACAGTGCATATATTATCCGAGTTATGTCTTTTGTTTGTATTATGACTGCAGGTATTGCGGTCTATGCAAACATGACTCCTTGTTAAAAGATGTCAGTTTTGTTGCCAGATAGAAGGGTAAAAAAACAATTATCATATTTTTACTGGCAAATGAGGTTCCCATAGAGTGAGTATCTTCTTGGTTCTTTCGGTAAAGTCACGTAGAATGGATATAATAAAATTATAAAAATAAAACATAATAAAATAATATTGTATATTTTATTATATTATATTATTATATTATGTTTTATTTTTATTATTTTATTATATCCATTCTACGTGACTTTACCGAAAGAACCAAGAAGATGAATCCCTGCAGTCACGAAAGCTTTAAATCGAGGAGTGAGTATGTGTGTCTGTGGGTGTTGGGATTCTCTCGTGCCGGAGCGGTGGCGCAGCGGTTAGCACCACGCTGTGCCACGAACCCTGGCCACCCGAGTTCGATTCCCGCTCGCAGCCAACAACCAGTGACGACTGTCTAAACATGGTCCCGGGCCTCCCCTAGGTCGACTCAGCCTCAAATTGGTACCTGGTGCGGTGTGTAGTAAACATCGCCACTGGGGAGACAAAGGCGGCCGGGCGTGGTGCTGGCCACTCATCCACTTCGTGTGCCACAGTGCCGGCCTACATAGGTGTTGCTCGCTAGCAGCACTTGCCCCTACAGTCTGTTCAGGCTATGAGGGGATCTTTGTCTTTGCTTTATCCCCCATGGTGACTCCACGTGACCCCCGTGGGTGCCCACGTGATCCCCGCCCACGTGATCCCCGGCCACGTGGCTCCGGTGAGCACAGCAGTCGCGTTTAGGACTCTATCAACCGGACCATATTTTGTTATGTCGGTATCAGAATTACGAGAAAAATAAATAACGTTTCCATTTCAGGGAAATAACACAGGAGTTGTGTTGATGCTAATTGGAGGATGGGTGAGTGTTTGTGTGAGTGACCATGTGAGTGGGTGAGTGACTATGTGAGTGGGTGAGTGACTGTGTGAGTGGGTGAGTGACTATGTGAGTGTGTGAGTGACTATGTGAGTGGGTGAGTGACTGTGAGAGTGGGTGAGTGAGTGTGTGAGTGTTGAGTGACTATGTGAGTGGGTTAGTGACTATGTGAGTGGGTGAGTGACTATGTGACTGTGTGAGTGACTGTGTGAGTGATTGAGTGACTGAGTGAGTTAGTGACAATGTGAGTGTGTGGGTGAGTGACTGTGTGGAGTGGGTGAGTGCCTGTGTGAGTGGGTGAGTGATCTGTGTGAGTGACTGTGCGAGTGGGTGAGTGACTGTGTGAGTGGGGTGAGTAACTATGTAAGTGGGTGAGTGACTGTGTGAGTGGATGAGTGACTATGTGACTGTGTGAGTGACTGTGTGAGTGGGTGAGTGACCATGTGAGTGGGTGGGTGACTGTGTGAGTGGGTGAGTGACTGTGTGAGTGGGTGAGTGACCATGTGAGTGGGTGGGTGACTGTGTGAGTGGGTGAGTGACTATGTGAGTGTGTGAGTGACCATGTGAGTGGGTGAGTGACTATGTGAGTGGGTGAGTGACTGTGTGAGTGGGTGAGTGACTATGTGAGTGTGTGAGTGACTATGTGAGTGGGTGAGTGACTGTGAGAGTGGGGTGAGTGAGTGTGTGAGTGTTGAGTGACTATGTGAGTGGGTTAGTGACTATGTGAGTGGGTGAGTGACTATGTGACTGTGTGAGTGACTGTGTGAGTGATTGAGTGACTGAGTGAGTTAGTGACAATGTGAGTGTGTGGGTGAGTGACTGTGTGAGTGGGTGAGTGCCTGTGTGAGTGGGTGAGTGACTGTGTGAGTGACTGTGCGAGTGGGTGAGTGACTGTGTGAGTGGGTGAGTAACTATGTAAGTGGGTGAGTGACTGTGTGAGTGGATGAGTGACTATGTGACTGTGTGAGTGACTGTGTGAGTGGGTGAGTGACCATGTCAGTGGGTGGGTGACTGTGTGAGTGGGTGAGTGACTGTGTGAGGGGTGAGTGACCATGTGAGTGGGTGGGTGACTGTGTGAGTGGGTGAGTGACTATGTGACTGTGTGAGTGACTGTGTGAGTGGGTGAGTGACTATGTGACTGTGTGAGTGACTGTGTGAGTGGGTGAGTGACTATGTGAGTGGGTGGGTGACTGTGTGAGTGGGTGAGTGACTGTGTGAGTGGGTAAGTGACTATGTGAGTGGGTGGGTGACTGTGTGAGTGGGTGAGTGAGTGGGTGAGTGACTGTGTGAGTCTATCAAGGCCGTAGCCATGGAGTCAACATTGGGGGGGACCAAATCTTCCAGGGGTCTGGGGGTCCCAACCCAGAAAAATATCGAAATTTTACAACTAATTTCCTGCCTAAAATATATTTTAAAAAGTCACTAACACATGGGATGGACTTTTTATTTATTTTGACAATAATGTCTAATAGTGTATTGTATTACATTGCTCTGTTTTTACTTTTTAAACATTTCTTCAATCATTGAATGTAATGGCAGAGATTATGGATTAATAAAATATAACTATAACCACAATCCTATAAACAGAAATCTATGTATTGATTTCTATGAAGACAAGTCCAGATATTTTGGCCAAGTTTTAGCAAATTGTTATTTTTATTTACACAGCATAGCAATTCTTTATTTTTATAGCAATATATTGGGGGGGGGGGGACATTTTGAGCATATTTGAATATTGGGGGGGATGTCCCCCCCCCCAATTTCTATTATAATTACGGCCTTGGAGTCTATGTGTATACGTTGAACTTCTTTCGCACCGTACGTAGCCAACCATGCTTATCGGAGGTGTCGGGAAAGTACAATCAAAACTAAGCACAACGTGACAAAGTTAACACGAGAGATGTTCAAACAGCTATTGTCACTTACACGGCATCATCAAGAAGTCCGCATTAGCCACACACACCATGCTTGTGCCACAACATGCAAACGAACGTGCTCTGACAATGACGTCACGCACTGCCTTTGAAACCGATTGGCCCACAGCAGAGCTACGGCCTCGCGTCACCACCGACGTCAGAGTACAATGGCCGACAAGGCGAGCAGCACAAAGGGAATTTATATATGAAAGCGTTAATCGCTTCCATCTACGAGGGACCCATGCTTTTTTGCGCGGCGTCCAATTTGGCGTTTGAACGACTTCAACAGCCTCCTCGTATTGTCGCCCGAAAGGGTACGAAGCCGCGTTGCATTTTTCATGCGTTTCGCGCTTAATTCGGGGTTTCGTTTCATCTCGCGGCGACGCGCAACGGAGGAGTTCGGCCCGGCGTCAGCGGAGGGGAGAGGAGGGAGAGTGGAGGGGAGTGAGGAGAGAGAGGGGAGCGAGGGGTGAGAGAGGTGAGAGTGGAGAGAGAGGTTAGGAGAGAGAGGAGAGATTTGAGAGTGAGGAGAGGTGAGAGAGGTTAGGAAAGAGGTGAGTAAAGAGGTGAGAGAGGAGAGATCGTCACGCCGAGTCGTTGACATTGGTGGTGGGGGGGGCACCCGCTCCCCGCTCACTGACCCCCAGTATTCTCAGCTCAGCCAATCAGTGAACTCAATTTGTTTTGTATATAGCCACAACGGACGGGCAATTTGCCGCGTTGGTGGTGGTCTCCCGGCTCTAGCGAACAATGTCGGTCCGCGACCCGAGTTCGTCTCGTCACGGTCCGTCGCGCGCCGGTTGTGGTCATCGTCACGCTCGGTGGCTCCCCCGTCACGTTCGCCACCGCTGTCACCGCCACCGCCAGCGCCGCCGCCACCGCCGCCACCGTCACCGCCGCTGCCACCGCCGCCACCGTCGCCACCACGGCGGCAGTAGGGGTCACCGGCATGGCTAGCGGCTTCTGGCGGCGCACGAGTTCTCCGGGCACTCCCTCTGGCACGGGGGTCCACCGCCGACATCCACCGCCGGCACCGCCACGTAGCCCGGCCGGCACTCGCACCGGGCGGTGCGGCCGTCGGCGCTCACGCGGCACCGCGACGTCTCGTCGCACCGCACGAGACGGCACGCCTCCTCCGGCTCCTCCGGCTCTGTTCCTGTGTCTGTTGGGAGAGGAGACGCACGGTGACGACGATCGGTGACGATGTGCGGTGACGATGTGCGGTGACGATGTGCGGTGAAACTCGGCTTGATCGCACCGGTGCAGACGCGTGAAGGAGAAAGCTCGAGATGAGTGGGACAGCATGGAGGGAGGGCAGTTCGAGAGAGTTGGCGGCAGCTCCGGGGAGACTTTCATCCCACAGCGGAGAGACCACCGCTGACCAACAAATATAGGCCTCAATGTCGCAGTGGCCAATGCAGCCGGGGGGTTGATATTGTTCCTCTGCTCAGGCTGATTTTGTAGCGAATCCAAAAAGCAGAGATGCTGACCGCAGCGGTGGAGCGACACTGGGCATCGCACTGGACCCGCCACCCCACGGGTCACCGGTTAGACTCCATCTCCCGGCACGGCAGTTGAACCGCAACGGAGCAGGTTTCTTAAATCCTCTCTCCCGCCACCACCGCCACCACCGCCACCACCGCCACTGCCACCACCGGCACCACCAGCTGCACCACCACCACCGTTGCCTCCACCACCACCGCCACTACCGCCACCACCGCCACTACCAGCTGCACCACTACCGCCACTGCCAACTACCGCCACCACCAGCAACACCGCCACTGCCATCACCGCCACCACCAGCACCACCACCACCACTGTCGCCTCCACCACCATCGCCATTACCACCACCACCAGCATCACCGCCACCGTCACCACCGGGACCACCACCACCGACACTGCCACCACCACCAGCAGCACCACCGCCGCCTCCACCATCGACGCCACCACCGCCGGCACCACCACCTCCAACACTGCCACCACCACCTCCAACACTGCCACCACCACCACCACCACTATCATCGCCGCCTCTGCCACCACCACCACCACCGCCACCACCACCACCACCGCCACCACAGTCGGTACGTATCGCAGCGCCCTAACCGCTACCCCCACCGCTCCCCACACCACCACCGGTGCCACCCCACGTGACGTGCCGACCGTGGGCTCCCTGTGGTTAACCCGTTCACGCTGCTGGGTGGACAGAGCAGGTGGTGGTGGTGGTGGGGAGGAGGAGGAGGAGGTGGGACGGGGAGGGGATTAAAGAAACTGGCTCCGTCGTGTCGACCGCCAGGAGATGGAGTCGAAACCCGGCGACCTCTGGGTCTCCACCCTGTGGCAGCAGCGATGGCAGTCTACATGTGCAGCAGCGTGCAGCAGGATGCACTATGCAGCAGCTAGCAGCAGTGTGCAGCAGGCTGCAGCGGGGGCCGCAGCAGTGTACAGCAGCGTGCATCGTGCAGCAGTGCAGAGCGTGCATGGTGCAATGTGCAGCAGGGTGCAGCAGGATGCACTATGCAGCAGCTTGCAGCAGCGTGCAGCAGCGTACAGGGTGCATGATGCAGCAGGGTGCAGCAGCGTGCAGCAGTGTACAGAGTGCATGATGCAGCAGGGTGCAGCAGCGTGCAGCAGTGTACAGGGTGCATGATGCATCAGGGTGCAGCAGCAGCAGCAGGGTGCATGATGCAGCAGGGTGCAGCAGCAGCAGGGTGCAGCAGCAGCAGCAGGGTGCAGCAGCAGCAGGGTGCAGCAACAGCAGCAGGGTGCAGCAGCAGCAGGGTGCAGCAGCAGCATTAGGGTGCAGCAGCAGCAGCAGGGTGCAGTGTGCCAGACGACGCGGAAACCTTGGCAAACTCCCCCCCGTTGATGAATGGCCGGCGTGGAGAAATCATTTGGGTCCATTAGAATTTTTTTTCTTTCCGCTTTTCTCATGAATGCTGCACGAAATTCATTCGTGACTGTAATTGATGTTGAGCGGATTTAACTCGGCGATTAATACTCCACTGCCTGAGAGGCACTGGGCAAACCGAGCCGATGAGAGAGCCTCTCTCAGTGTTTCGATTTAAAGCTTCTTTCGTGACTGCAGGGATTCATCTTCTTGGTTCTTTCGGTAAAGTCACGTAGAAGGGAAGTAATAAAATAATAAAAATAAAACATAAAAGTTCGATTTAAAGCTTTCGTGACTGCAGGGATTCATCTTCTTGGTTCTTTCGGTAAAGTCACGTAGAAGGGAAATAATAAAATAATAAAAATGTTACATCAAATTTCGATTTAAAGCTTTCGTGACTGCAGGGATTCATCTTCTTGGTTCTTTCGGTAAAGTTACGTAGAAGGGAAATAATACAATAATAAAAATAAAACATAATAAAATAATAATAGTAGGTTTTTACCCTTTTAAACTGGTACAAAACTGACACCTTTATTCAAGGCATCATGTTTGCAATAACCACAACACAAGTAGTCAAAAAAGCAAACAAAAAGAAGCAACTCTGATAATGATAATCATATGCAATGTCCTTGAAGTTGATTGGTCCACACCCGAGACGGCTTTCTTTAGAGCCTAGTCCCCATTGGTGTTGGACCAGATGACACCAGAAGGCGTACAACTCAAACACAGTGCAATATCAGAGTCTTGAGAGCTCGGGGTAAGCATTTACACTACGAGACCTCGTTGCCACTGGTAAAAGAGATCTCATAGTGATAATAAAATAATTCTCACGACGTTTAGGCCACAACGCAAGCAGCCGTCCTCAGGTGAAGAACAGGTCTGTCGGGAAGACAGAGTCTGAATGAAACACCCCAGGCTTGGAGCGTATATTTAAGCTGAGGTTGGAGGGGGAAGAGCGCCTTGACAAAATAATTTGCATATCAAGAGGAATTTAGCATATTTATGGGAAATGCAGATATGGGATTAGTACTACTTGTGAAATGCGTAGGAGGTGGGCAGGGGTTTTCAAAGTCATATTATGCCCGTGCATTATGCAGGATTAGCATAATGCACGGGCATAATAATCCTGCATAATGCATGGGCATAATATGATTTTATTATTTCCATTCTACGTGACTTTACCGAAAGAACCAAGAAGAAGCCTCTCAGCGCTTCAACTAAGCATTTTTATTTTACTCGGTGGAATGCCCCGCGGAGCTACGCAGTTCTTTTATTAGAAGCAACCTGGCCATCACAAATGATAAACCAACGGAGTTGAGGGACTCCACATCATCGTGTGGACATGTATAGCAGGAGGCAAATACTCTTAAACGCGTGACGTCGATTCTTCATGTGGAGGGGGAAAAACCGGAGGACCCGGAGAAATATCCACGCGACCACGGGGAGAGAGAGACACGCAAACTCCAAATCTACAGCAGCAGACGTCAGGGTCGGGATCGAACCCACGACCTCCTGTATACCAGGCGAGGTAGTTAACATCTCCTAGACACCGTGATGATGATGAGAGAAAGAGAGAGACACGCAAACTCCAAATATACAGCAGCAGGCGTCAGGGTCGGGATCGAACCCACGACCTCCTGTACACCAGGCGAGGTAGTGAGGGGCAGGGCCGCTGATGTTGGCCGTGGTTGCTAGTGGTGCTGCTAGCGGTGTTGCTAGTGGTGCTGCTAGTTTTGCTAGTGGTGCTAGTGGTGCTGCTAGGGTGCTAGCGTTGTGCCACCACCTCCTCCGTCGTCATCGCCGCCCACGTCGAGCGAGTTGCGGTCGATGTTGATGTCGGCGCTCGCCGGCGCGGCGCTGCACAGCTCCCGCAGCAGGCACAGCAGGGTGGCACGCGGCGTGGCGGCTGCACCGGCGTCACCAGCGTTACCGGCGTCACCGGCGTCACCGTCACCGGCGCCGGCGCCGTGGCGGTGGCGGCGAAGGCGCACGGTCGCCCCCCGCGCCAGCGTGACGCGGCTGCGCACCACCACGCTGCCACGCTCGAAGCGCACGATCTCCAGCTGCTTGAAGCCCTCCAAGTTGGCGCCGATGTAGGGCACCAGCTGGGGGCGGGAGGGGAGGGGCCGGAGTCAACGTCGGTGGAGGGGTGGAGGAGACGTGCGCCGTCGCACTCACAAACAAGACACGCGCGCGTCATCGTTAAGCCCACTGACCTTGCGTCATCATCGTCGTCATCGTCAAGCCCACTGACCTTGCGTCATCATCGTCATCATCGTCAAGCCCACTGACCTTGTGTAATCATCGTCATCATCGTCATCATAGTCGTCATCATCGTCATCAAGCCCACTGACCTTGCGTCATCATCGTCATCATCGTCATCAAGCCCACTGACCTCGTGTAATCATCGTCATCATCGTCATCAAGCCCACTGACCCTGCATCATCATCGTCATCATCGTCATCATCAAGCCCATTGACCTTGTGTAATCATCGTCGTCATCATCAACAACAACAAAAGACCCACTACGTCTCTCGAGATGCGGTGGGGTTTTTGCAATGATTGCTTTTCTCTTCATCTGCCGCGCGAGGTACACTCCACATCACGGCTACCTCTCGTTTTACGCGGGGGTTGTGTTCTTGTAAAACGGCGCCTAACTAAAAATCGCATGGATTAAAACGTAAAGTTTTTTCCCCATAAGAAATCAAGGAAACGTTTGGGGTTAGGGGAGGGCATGCTCTTACATCTATATATTTCCTTGCTTACGGCAACATATTATATTTACGATAGTAAACAGAAGATTTAAAGAAAAAAAAATAAGTGTAAATTAATAAAACGTACGCCCACTTTAAAAATCGCATCACGTAAATGCGGGTAGAATGCGAGCCGGACGGTTTTTTGCTATTGGCTTCTCTCATCTTTGGTGGAACGCAAACCCCAGGTCGGTGACTCCACTCCAAATGTGACTCTTTCTACCCCCCTCCCATCCTGCGCCCCCCTCCCGAGTTCCATCGAGTACTCGCGCCCCCCCCCCCCTCCCCTGCGGTTCCACGACACAGAACGGACCCCGACCGGCGGACTCGACCCCAACCCTTACCAGGTCCAGGAACTTCTTCTCGAGGTCCCTGTACTCGACGGACTCCCTGTCGAAGAGCGCCTCGCTGAAGCGCATGTTGGTGACGCGCATGCTGAATAGCACCAACACGTCGCCCCCCGCAGCGTCCGGGGAGCCCCGTGGCTCCTTCGCCGAGTCGGTCGTTACGTCCGCTCCGGGTGCCACGTCCGCTGGAGGTGCCACGTCTGAATCAGGTGCCACGTTCGCTTCAGGTGGTGCTACGTCCGCAGCAGGTGACACGTGCGCTTCAGGTGCTATGTCCACTCCAGGTGCCACGTTCGCTTCAGGTGCTACGTCCGCTCCAGGTGCTACGTCTGCTCCAGGTGCTACGTCTGAATCAGGTGCCATGTTTGGTTTTGGTGCTACGTCCGCTGCAGGTGACACGTTCGCTTCGGGTGCTACGTTCGCTTCAAGTGCTACGTTCGCTCCGGGTGCCACGTCTGCTCCAGGTGCTACGTCCGCTGCAGGTGCCACGTCTGAAACAGGTGCCATGTTTGGTTTGGGTGCCACATCCGGTTCGGTCGCCACATCCATTCAGGTGCCATGTCTGCTTCAGCCGCTACGTCCGGTTTGCCGCCGCCACCGTCAGCACCACCAACACCACCGGCGGCGAGAGAAGGAGGTTCAGGAGAGACGCCGAGGCCCTTGATGACGGTGGGACGTCGAGACAAGACGTGGAGACCCTCGACGGCGGCAGGAGGTTGAGGAGACGTGACGAGGCCTTCGTGAACTTCTCCTCGTGCTGTGGGTTCGTGTGACGCATCCGGGCCTTCCATCAAGGCTGCAGGTTCAGGAGATGTGTCAGGGTCTTCTACCATGGCTGGAGCTTCTGGCGAAGGGTCCAGATCGTTGATAACGGTTCCAGATTCAGGTGAGATGTCAATGCCTATATCTGCTGCAGGTTCAAGTGACTCATCTATTCCTGCTTCAGGTGCTGGTGATTCATATATTCCTGCTCCAGCTGCAGGTTCAGATTCAGGTGACTGATCTACTCCTGCTGCAGCTGCAGGTACAGATTCAGGTGAGTGGTCTACTGCTGCTGCAGCTGCAGGTTCAGATTCAGGTGACTCGTCTACTCCTGCTGCAGCTGCAGGTTCAGATTCAGGCGACTGATCTACTCCTGCTGCAGCTGCAGGTTCAGATTCAGGTGACTCGTCCACTCCTGCTGCAGGTTCAGATTCAGGCGATTCGTCTACTCCTGCTGCAGCTGCAGGTTCAGATTCAGGTGAGTCATCTACTCCTGCTGCAGCTGCAGGTTCAGATTCAGGTGATTCGTCTACTCCTGCTGCAGCTGCAGGTTCAGATTCAGGTGAGTCGTCTACTCCTGCTGCAGCTGCAGGTTGAGATTCAGGCGACTCATCTCCTCCTGCTGCAGCTGCAGGTTCAGATTCAGGTGATTCATCTACTCCTGCTGCAGCTGCAGGTTCAGATTCAGGTGAGTCGTCTACTCCTGCTCCAGGTTCAGATTCAGGTGACTCGTCTACTGCTGCTGCAGCTGCAGGTTCAGATTCAGATGACTCGTCTACTCCTGCTGCAGGTTCAGATTCAGGTGACTCATCTACTCCTGCTGCAGGTTCAGATTCATGTGACTCGTCCACTCCTGCTGCAGCTGCAGGTTCAGATTCAGGGGACTCGTCTACTCCTGCTGCAGCTGCGGGTTCCGATTCAGGTGACTCGTCTACTCCTGCTGCAGCTGCAGGTACAGATTCAGGTGAGTCATCTACTCCTGCTGCAGCTGCAGGTTCAGATTCAGGTGACTGATCTACTCCTGCTGCAGCTGCAGTTTCAGATTCAGGTGACTCGTCCACTCCTGCTGCAGGTTCAGATTCAGGTGACTCGTCTACTCCTGCTGCAGCTGCAGGTTCAGATTCAGGTGAGTCGTCTACTCCTGCTGCAGCTGCGGGTTCAGATTCAGGTGACTCGTCCACTCCTGCTGCAGCTGCAGGTTCAGATTCAGGTGAGTCGTCTACTCCTGCTGCAGCTGCAGGTTCAGATTCAGGTGAGTCGTCTACTCCTGCTGCAGCTGCGGGTTCAGATTCAGGTGACTCGTCTACTCCTGCTGCAGCTGCAGGTTCAGATTCAGGTGACTCGTCCACTCCTGCTGCAGCTGCAGGTTCAGATTCAGGTGACTTGTCCACTCCTGCTGTTGCTGCAGGTTCAGATTCAGGTGACTCGTCTACTCCTGCTGCAGGTTCAGATTCAGGTGAGTCGTCTACTCCTGCTGCAGCTGCAGGTTGAGATTCAGGCGACTCGTCTCCTCCTGCTGCAGCTGCAGGTTCAGATTCAGGTGATTCGTCTACTCCTGCTGCAGCTGCAGGTTCAGATTCAGGTGACTCGTCTACTCCTGCTGCAGGTTCAGATTCAGGCGACTCGTCTACTGCTGCTGCAGCTGCAGGTTCAGATTCAGATGACTCGTCCACTCCTGCTGCAGGTTCAGATTCAGGTGACTCGTCTACTCCTGCTGCAGGTTCAGATTCATGTGACTCGTCCACTCCTGCTGCAGCTGCAGGTTCAGATTCAGGTGACTCGTCTACTCCTGCTGCAGCTGCGGGTTCCGATTCAGGTGACTCGTCTACTCCTGCTGCAGCTGCAGGTACAGATTCAGGTGAGTCATCTACTCCTGCTGCAGCTGCAGGTTCAGATTCAGATGACTCATCCACTCCTGCTGCAGTTTCAGATTCAGGTGACTCGTCCACTCCTGCTGCAGGTTCAGATTCAGGTGACTCGTCTACTCCTGCTGCAGCTGCAGGTTCAGATTCAGGTGAGTCGTCTACTCCTGCTGCAGCTGCGGGTTCAGATTCAGGGGACATGTCTACTCCTGCTGCAGCTGCAGGTTCAGATTCAGGTGAGTCGTCTACTCCTGCTGCAGCTGTGGGTTCAGATTCAGGTGACTCGTCCACTCCTGCTGCAGCTGCAGGTTCAGATTCAGGTGAGTCGTCTACTCCTGCTGCAGCTGCAGGTTCAGATTCAGGTGAGTCGTCTACTCCTGCTGCAGCTGCGGGTTCAGATTCAGGTGACTCGTCCACTCCTGCTGCAGCTGCAGGTTCAGATTCAGGTGAGTCGTCTACTCCTGCTGCAGCTGCAGGTTCAGATTCAGGTGAGTCGTCTACTCCTGCTGCAGCTGCGGGTTCAGATTCAGGTGACTTGTCTACTCCTGCTGCAGCTGCAGGTTCAGATTCAGGTGACTCGTCCACTCCTGCTGCAGCTGCAGGTTCAGATTCAGGTGACTCGTCTACTCCTGCTGCTGCTGCAGGTTCAGATTCAGGTGACTCGTCTACTCCTGCTGCAGGTTCAGATTCAGGTGAGTCGTCTACTCCTGCTGCAGCTGCAGGTTCAGATTCAGGCGACTCGTCTACTCCTGCTGCAGGTTCAGATTCAGGTGACTCGTCTACTCCTGCTGCAGCTGCAGGTTCAGATTCAGGTGACTCGTCTACTCCTGCTGCAGCTGCAGGTTCAGATTCAGGTGAGTCGTCTACTCCTGCTGCAGGTGCAGGTTCAGATTCAGATGACTCGTCCACTCCTGCTGCAGGTTCAGATTCAGGTGACTTGTCTACTCCTGCTGCAGCTGCAGGTTCAGATTCACGTGAGTCATCTACTCCTGCTGCAGCTGCAGGTTCAGATTCAGGTGACTCGTCTACTCCTGCTGCAGGTTCAGATTCATTTGACTCGTCCACTCCTGCTGCAGCTGCAGGTTCAGATTCAGGCGACTCGTCTACTCCTGCTGCAGCTGCGGGTTCAGATTCAGGTGATTCGTCTACTCCTGCTGCAGCTGCGGGTTCAGATTCAGGTGACTCGTCTACTCCTGCTGCAGCTGCAGGTTCAGATTCAGGTGAGTCGTCTACTCCTTCTGCAGCTGCGGGTTCAGATTCAGGTGACTCGTCTACTCCTGCTGCAGCTGCAGGTTCAGATTCAGGTGACTCGTCCACTCCTGCTGCAGCTGCAGGTTCAGATTCAGGTGACTCGTCTACTCCTGCTGCTGCTGCAGGTTCAGATTCAGGTGACTCGTCTACTCCTGCTGCAGGTTCAGATTCAGGTGAGTCGTCTACTCCTGCTGCAGCTGCAGGTTCAGATTCAGGCGACTCGTCTACTCCTGCTGCAGGTTCAGATTCAGGTGACTCGTCTACTCCTGCTGCAGCTGCAGGTTCAGATTCAGGTGACTCGTCTACTCCTGCTGCAGCTGCAGGTTCAGATTCAGGTGAGTCGTCTACTCCTGCTGCAGGTGCAGGTTCAGATTCAGATGACTCGTCCACTCCTGCTGCAGGTTCAGATTCAGGTGACTCGTCTACTCCTGCTGCAGCTGCAGGTTCAGATTCACGTGAGTCATCTACTCCTGCTGCAGCTGCAGGTTCAGATTCAGGTGACTCGTCTACTCCTGCTGCAGGTTCAGATTCATTTGACTCGTCCACTCCTGCTGCAGCTGCAGGTTCAGATTCAGGCGACTCGTCTACTCCTGCTGCAGCTGCGGGTTCAGATTCAGGTGAGTCGTCTACTCCTGCTGCAGCTACAGGTTCAGATTCAGGTGACTCGTCTACTCCTGCTGCAGGTTCAGATTCATTTGACTCGTCCACTCCTGCTGCAGCTGCAGGTTCAGATTCAGGTGACTCGTCTACTCCTGCTGCAGCTGCGGGTTCAGATTCAGGTGACTCGTCCACTCCTGCTGCAGCTGCAGGTTCAGATTCAGGTGACTCGTCCACTCCTGCTGCAGGTTCAGATTCAGGTGAGTCGTCTACTCCTGCTGCAGCTGCAGGTTCAGATTCAGGTGACTCGTCTCCTCCTGCTGCAGCTGCAGGTTCAGATTCAGGTGACTCGTCCACTCCTGCTGCAGCTGCAGGTTCAGATTCAGGTGAGTCGTCTACTCCTGCTGCAGCTGCAGGTTCAGATTCAGGTGACTCGTCCACTCCTGCTGCAGGTTCAGATTCAGGTGACTCGTCTACTCCTGCTGCAGCTGCAGGTTCAGATTCAGGTGAGTCGTCTACTCCTGCTGCAGCTGCGGGTTCAGATTCAGGTGACTCGTCCACTCCTGCTGCAGCTGCAGCTGCAGGTTCAGGTGAGTCGTCTACTCCTGCTGCAGCTGCAGGTTCAGATTTAGGTAAGTCGTCCACTCCTGCTGCAGCTGCGGGTTCAGATTCAGGTGAGTCGTCTACTCCTGCTGCAGCTGCGGGTTCAGATTCAGGTGACTCATCTACTCCTGCTGCAGCTGCAGGTTCAGATTCAGGTGACTCGTCTCCTCCTGCTGCAGCTGCAGGTTCAGATTCAGGTGAGTCGTCCACTCCTGCTGCAGCTGCAGGTTCAGATTCAGGTGAGTCGTCCACTCCTGCTGCAGGTTCAGATTCAGGTGACTCGTCCACTCCTGCTGCAGCTGCAGGTTCAGATTCAGGTGACTGATCTACTCCTGCTGCAGCTACAGGTTCAGATTCAGGTGACTCGTCCACTCCTGCTGCAGCTGCAGGTTCAGATTCAGGTGACTCGTCTACTGCTGCATGTTCAGATTCAGGTGACTCATCTACTCCTGCTGCAGGTTCAGATTCAGGTGACTGATCTGCTGCAGCTGCAGGTTCAGAATCAAGTGACTCGTCTACTCCTGCTGCAGCTGCAGGTTCAGATTCCTGATCTGCTCCTGCTGCAGGTGCAGGTGGCTCGTCAACTCCCGCGTGCGGCCGCCGTGACTCTCCCGCCGTCGCGAGCTCCGTGCTCGTGACGACGCCCTCCTGGGACGCCCCGAGCCCCTCATCCTCCAAGGCGCCCAACGCATCCTCGTCACCGTGAACCTCCTCCTCTTCCCCCTCCTGCCCCACCCCCTCCTGCCCCACCCCCTCCTGCCCCACCCCCTCCTTTCCAACTCCCTCCCCCACCTCCTCTTCCCCCTCCTGCCCCACCCCCTCCTGCCCCACCCCCTCCTGCCCCACTCCCTCCTGCCCCACTCCCTCCCCCACCTCCTCTTCCCCCTCCTGCCCCACCCCCTCCCCCACCTCCTCTTCCCCCACCCCCTCCTGCCCCACCGCCTCCTGCCCCACCCCCTCCTGCCCACCCCCTCCCCCACCTCCTCTTCCCCCACCCCCTCCTGCCCCACCCCCTCCTGCCCCACTCCCTCTCCCACCCCCTCCTGCCCCACCCCCTCCTGCCCCACCCCCACCCCCTCCCCCACCTCCTCTTCCCCCACCCCCTCCTGCCCCACCCCCTCCTGCCCCACCCCCACCCCCTCCCCCACCTCCTCTTCCCCCACCCCCTCCTGCCCCACTCCCTCCTGCCCCACTCCCTCCCCCACCTCCTCTTCCCCCACCGCCTCCTGCCCCACTCCCTCCCCCACCTCCTCTTCCCCCACCGCCTCCTGCCCCACTCCCTCCCCCACCTCCTCTTCCCCCACCCCCTCCTGCCCCACTCCCTCCCCCACCTCCTCTTCCCCCACCCCCTCCTGCCCCACCCCCACCTCCTCCTCCTCTTCCCCCACCTCCTCTTCCCCCACCCCCTCCTGCCCCACTCCCTTCTCCTCTGCGGACGGAGCGAGGATAACGAGCAGCTCTTCGGCGGATCCTTCAAGGCCGCCTCCGTCTGGCGGGGAGGAGAGGAACGGGTCGGGGTTGATGGTCGTTGTCGTCTTCCTCGTCCCGGCGGTCCGCACGTCCTCGCCCGTCCGGTCCGAGCGAGAGGCGGGCACCGCTGGCGCCCACTCGTCCAAGAGCGCGACTGCCGGAGGACCTGCAGGTAGACTTAAATATAAACTAAGATATACACTAAACTAGAAACTTAAATATAAACTAAGCCATAAACTAAACTATAAACTTAAATATAAACTTAAATATAAACTAAGCTAGAAACTAAACTATAAACTAAACTATAAACTAAGCTATAAACTAAACTGTAAACTAAACTGTAAACTTAAATATTAACTAAAATATAAACTAAACTATAAACTAAAGCATGAACTGAACTATAAACTTAAATATAAACTAAACTAAACTATTAACTAAACTATAAACTAAACTATAAACTAAACTATAAACTAAACTAGCAACTGAACTCTCAATTCAACTAATAAACTAAACTATACACTAAACTATAAACTAAAATATAAACTAAACTATAAACTTAAATATAAACTAAACTATAAAATAAACTATAAACTAAGCTTTAAATTATAAAATAAACTATAAAATAAACTAGTAACTGAACTCTCAACTAAACTATAAACTAAATTATAAACTAAACTATAAACTAAACTATAAACTAAACTATAAACTGAACTAATAAACTATAAACTAAACTACCAAACTATGTTGTATTTCATCAGGTAAAGCTCCACTGAGCTGCGAGAAAACCCTTTCTCAGTAGCAACCTGCTCATGAAAAATTATCGCTCAACAAAGTGCTTTCTTCTTCTTGGTTCTTTCGGTAAAGTCACGTAGAAGGGAAGTAATAAAATAATAAAAATAAAACATAATAAAATGATTCTCACGACGTTTCGCCCACAACGCAAGCAGCCGTCCTCAGGTGAAGACCAGGTCTGTCGGGGAGACAGCGTCGTGAGAATTATTTTATTATGTTTTATTATTTTATTACTTCCCTTCTACGTGACTTTACCGAAAGAACCAAGAAGATGCTTTCTCATCGTTGCGCGATTATAAATCAACCGGAGGAGGCCGTAAAGATGAGATGAGTCGACCAGAATACGTCTCCGCCGCTCACTCGAGTTGGGGAGGCCCCTTCCGCCAGCGGCGGTGGCGTTCGTGAGCGCGCCAGCGATTGCAGGAGCTGCGCCTTCACCCGCGAGTGACGCAGAAGCAGAGGTCGCAAACGGGTTTTGATTCCTTACCCGTACCCGTACCCGGCCGCACCAGGGTCGCAAATGGGTACCTGGCCGGGTGGGTACCCGTTCCCTACCCGTACCCTACCCGAAATGAGCGACAAACGGTGACTCACCAGTGACTCACGGCCTACCCGTACCCGTACCCGGCCGCACCAGGGTCGCAAACGGGTACCCGTACCTGGCCGGGTACGGGTAGCCGGGTATCGGGTAGGGTACGGGTATCGGGTACCCGGTTGCGACCTCTGCGCCGAAGGGTGAGGTGGCTGGGCCGTGTGTCCAGGTGAGAGAGGGGCTGGTTGGTGAGTGCGTGCTCCGACATCAAAGACAACGTTCTGTTGGCGAGCAGCAGCAGCAGCAGCTGTGCAGGCAAGCACCACCCCTGACCCGCGTCTTAGTACCTGAGGACATCTGCAGGTCGTAGTGGATGGCGTCCGCGGGGAGGTCCGTCAGGAATTCTGCAGCGCGCACAAACACAAGTTTAAGTTAATGTATTAGGTATAGCCCTGTGAGCCATTCGGCTCTTGAATCGGGTGCAACCGCAACAAACAAAAAACAAAAACATGAACAAAAAACTTCTTAAAGTTAATATGTGACTGAGTGCAAACAGAAAATCCAAGAAAAGACAGCAAAATATTGCAGGAAAAAACACCGCACACCAAAGCTGTGTGCCAAAAATCCCAGTGGGATGCAAGTCAAACAACAACAACAAGACAACTTAGATTAAGGCCATCAGTCTAACTCTGTACTACAACAAACAAACATGGCTAAACCAATAAACTTTTCGAAATCACCAAAATAAAGCTATGAAAGCAATGAAAAAGCAATCATAGGAACTGTGACGGAATTTTCACACGCCGAAGACAAAGATGTCCCATATACACAACACACACACACCACGCAGCAGGTCACAGCGGGACTCACCGCGCGTCAGCTGGAAGGAGTCGGGATCGATTCCCGTCAGCTGCTGCTCCTTAGGCTGCTGCTGCTGCTGCCGCTGCTGTCTGTGCAGAGCGTCCGAGACCATTTGTGGCAGAGCCTGGATGGACCCTGGCATGGCCCACCCAGCCTCCCGTTCCTCCCGTGGGTCATCTCCATCTCGCTCCCCCTTGGCTCCCGGAGCCAAGGCGAGGTGCTCGTCCCGTTCGGACTCGTGGGTCTCCTCCTGCTCCTCCTCAACGTCCAGGTCTTCCTCGGAGTGGGCAAACTCATGAAGGCCACGGCGATCACCGGAGGCATCATCGGCCGAACCTGGATTCCTCCCCGAACTGTGGAGGTCATCGGAGTCCACGGCCTCCACCTCCTCCTCTCGCGAGATGTTCGGCTGATCCGTCCGTCCATTCGGCTGCGTCTCCTCGACAAGGCCTTCGCCTCCTCCTCCACCACCTCCTCCACCATCTCCTCCACCTGCTCCTCCACCATCTCCTCCACCATCTCCTCCACCTGTTCCTCCACTATCTCCTCCACCACCTCCTCCATCTGCTGCTCCACCACCTCCTCCACCTGTTCCTGCACCACCTCCTCCACCTGTTCCTGCACCATCTCCTCCACCTGTTCCTCCACCACCTCCTCCATCTGCTCCTCCACCACCTCCTCCACCTGCTCCCAATCCTCCTGGTCCGAGCTCACCCCCCGCTTCAGGATGAGGGCCGGCCGACAGCGGCGGTGGTGGAGGGAGGCTGCTACCCGCCCCCTCCACCTGGTTGGTCTCCATAGCCACGAGCTTGGCCTCCCCGTTGCTGTTGTTGTTGTTGTTGTTGTCGTTGTTGTTGTTGTGCTGCCCCTGCTGGTGCCCGGGACGACCGCCCTGGAAGACCGCGGCGTAGTGCACCACCTTGTTGCCACACCTGCGTTCGCACGGACGCACGTGGGGCAAGAGGGGAGAGGAGGTGGGTGGTTGGTGTGGGTGGGTGAGTCGTGGTGGGTGGGGAATGGGCAAGCGGTAATTGACAGGAACGAGCGACGCCATCGGGGTTGGAGTGGCACGGTGGTCAGAGCGCTCGGCACGGTTTAACCCCGTGTGCTTGTACAGGGACATTGAGTCTGCAGGTCCACGCGGCGAACAGCAGGTTCAATACGGGCAGAGAAATGCGTATTTGTTTATTTGTTTGTGTTTCTCCCGTGTGATGGGACTTTGTAGGATGAACGTTGAGTATTATAAGGGGCACGGTGTGACCAATGAGGTCTGAATTGGTCTGTAATAAGGTAGGCACAGATACGGGGTGGACAGGTATGAATTATGTATGTGTGTATGTGTTAAACGGGATAAATAAAAACGTGTGTACATATGTTGAATTTCTTTTGCGCCGTACGTAAGCCAAACCATGCTAATCGGAGGATGGGTTAGTGTGTGGGTGAGTGACTATGTGAGTGGGTGAGTCACTGTGTGTGTGGGTGAGTGACTGTGTGAGTGCGTGAGTGACTATGTGAGTGGGTGAGTGACTGTGTGAGTGGTTGAGTTACTGTGTGAGTGGGTGAGTGATTGTGTGAGTGGGTGAGTAACTGTGTGAGTGGGTGAGTGACTGTGAGTGGGTGAGTGACTATGTGAGTGGGTGAGTCACTGTGTATGTGGGTGAGTGACTGTGTGAGTGGTTGAGTGACTGTGTGAGTGGGTGAGTGATTGTGTGAGTGAGTGAGTGATTGTGTGAGTGAGTGAGTAACTGTGTGAGTGGTTGAGTTACTGCGTGAGTGGGTGAGTTACTGTGTGAGTGGGTGAGTGATTGTGAGAGTGGGTGAGTGACTGTGAGTGGGTGAGTGACTGTGTGAGTGGTTGAGTTACTGCGTGAGTGGGTGAGTTACTGTATGAGTGGGTGAGTGATTGTGTGAGTGGGTGAGTGATTGTGTGAGTGGGTGAGTAACTGTGTGAGTGGGTGAGTGACTGTGAGTGGGTGAGTGACTATGTGAGTGGGTGAGTGACTGTGTGAGTGACTATGTGAGTGACTGTGTGAGTGGGTGAGTGACTATGTGAGTGGGTGAGTGACTGTGTGAGTGGGTGAGTGACTGTGTGAGTGACTATGAGTGGGTGAGTGAGTGACTATGTGAGTGGGTGAGTGATTGTGTGAGTGGGTGAGTGACTACGTGAGTGGGTGAGTGACTGTGTGAGTGGGTGAGTGACTGTGTGAGTGGGTGAGTGACTGTGTGAGTGACTATGAGTGGGTGAGTGAGTGACTATGTGAGTGGGTGAGTGACTGCGTGAGTGGTTGAGTGACTGCGTGAGTGGGTGAGTGACTATGTGCATGATGACGGTGATGATGATGGAGTCTTTGTGTTGCATAGCGGTGGTGGTAGTGATGTGTGCCGGGGTAGGGTTGGGTGAGATTACAAAGTGTGCCCAGACCGCTACAAGTCTCCCCCCCCGCCCCAGTGGGAAATGAGATCGTACGTCTCAGTGGGGGGCACGCGCTCTGTTAAGTGAATGACGCTGAATTTTAAAAGGGTCCCTTACGACTCAGTCAGGGCCCCGGAGAGAGACTCAATGCCTCGCGCGCTCTCTCTCTCTCTCTGTCTCTCCTCCGTTCTCTCTCGATTTCTCACCCACTGTCTCTCTCCTTTGCTCTCCCTCTGTCTCTCTCCTTTGCTCTCTCTCTGTCGCTCTCCCTCTCTCCCCCTCTCTCCCTCTCTCTCCGGAGAATGAAACAAATTCTCGGGTTTGCACAATGTGATGACTTCAAAGGCGTCGCCGTTGACATCGCGCGCGCGCACGCACGCGCATACATGCACGCACATACACGCACGCACATACACGCACGCACATACACACACGCACATACACACACGCACATACACACACGCACATACATACACGCACGCACATACATACACACGCACATACACACGCACATACACACGCACATACACACACGCACATACACGCACGCACATACACGCACGCACATACACGCACGCACATACACGCACGCACATACACACACGCACATACACACACGCACATACATACACGCACGCACATACATACACACGCACATACACACGCACATACACACGCACGCACGCACGTACAAAGATCCCCCGTATAGCCTTAACAGGCTGTAGGGACAAGTGCTGCTCGCGAGCACCTATGAAGGCCGGCACGGCACACGAGGGGATGGGTGGCCAACACCACGCCCGGCCGCCTTTGTCTCCCCAGTGGCGATGTTTACACATCGCACCAGGTAGTAATTTGAGGCTGAGTCGACCTAGGGGAGGCCCAGGACCGGTTCAGATAATCGTCACCGGTGTTGGTCGTGAGCGGGAATCGAACCCGTGTCGCCAGGTTTGTAGCGCAGTGCGCTAACCGCTACACTACCGCTCCCCACAACACACGCGCACACGCACGCGCCCGCACGCACAAACACACACGCGCACACACACGCATGCACAAACACACACGCGCACACACGCGCACACGTACGCACAAACACACACGCGCACACACACGCACGCGCACAAACATACATGCGTGCACACACGCGCATGCACAAACACACACGCGCACACACGCGCACACGCATGCACAAACACACACGCGCACACACACGCACGCCAACAAACATACACGCGCGCACACACGCGCATGCACAAACACACGCACGCACACGCGCACACACACGCACGCCAACAAACATACACGCGCGCACACACACGCATGCACAAACACACGCACGCACACGCGCACACACGTGCACACGCACACGCGCGCACGCGATGTTTCTCAAATGTGAATTAATCTCTGTCGCGCAAACACCGCCTCTCCGCTCCGCGTGGCTGTGTTTTGGCGTTTGCTCGGTGGAGTCACCAAGGCTCTTTCCTTTACTTTTCATTAAAATAAAAAAGCTAAACAAACACGCACACACACGAGCACAACAACAACAACCGCCATTTGCCACTAAGTGGCGGTGATGTCACCACGACGCTTGTGCCAGGCTATGTGCATGTTGAGGCTACCACGTGAAGTGTCGAACGCCCGCTCGCAGGAGGTCACGCGGGCACGACCTCTTGCAAACCAGGTGAGGAAGTTAACATCTCATAGCCACTGCGGCACACCTTAGGCAGGACCCTCCTGGAAACGAGTCTTGAAACTCGGTGTGAGGCTCGCCTGGCTGAATGAGGGCAGTAATAACAATACTAATGTTTCACCTGAAGACGGAAGCTTGTGTTGCCTCCGAAACGTCGTGAAATTATTGTTTTGATTTTTTATTAATTAAAATTTCATTTTTTACCCACGTGACTTTACCGAAAGAACGAAGAGTATGAATCCTTGCAGTCACGAAAGCTTCAAATCTAGAAATACTAATGTCTCCTTTGGTGTTGGCCACCCACCCCCTCGCGTGCCGTGCCGGCCTTCATAGGTGCTCGCTAACAGCACTTGCCCCAACACTCTGCCACGGGCTATACGGGTGACTTTTGTCTTTGTTGTCACTCAGTTTGCGATGCGCCTCTTCTGCCTGATGACCACCCCCGCAAGTGATGTCTCCATGACCTAATTTTGTAATTGTCCTGCGATCGGTCTGAAAGGTGATCCGCGCGAGACGGGGAATGTAGCGCTTCACGTTGATCGATGTCTCGCGCGGACACGGCGGCGGTTGCGTTTGGGGCCGGTTTCTATCCAAATCTTGTCTTTGTTTGCCGTGCGTACATTAAAAAAAAAATTCGGATTTGATTTGAGTTGTGTTTTTGTTTTTAATCATAGTGGGTCACAGTTCCTACGATTGCGTTTTCATTGCTTGCATAGCTTGATTTTGGTGATTTCGAAAAGTGTATTGGTGTGGCCATGTTTGTTTGTTGTAGTACAGAGTTAGACTGATGGCCTTAATCTAAGGTGTCTTGTGGTTGTTGTTGTTGTTGTTTGACTTGCATCCCACTGGGATTTTTGCACACAGCGTTGGTGTACGGTGTTTTTTTCTGCAATATTTTGCTGTCTTTTCTTGGATTTTCTGTTTGCACTCAGTCACATGTTCACTTTAAGATGTTTTTTTGTTCATGTTTTTCTTTTTTGTTTGTTGCGGTTGCACCCGATTCAAGAGCCGAATGGCTCACAGGGCTATACCTAATACATGAACTTGAAACTTGAAACTCTTGCAAATGAGACTCCTGGGTTTCCTTGCTGCCTCACCTGGTCACAAATAAAAAATAATCGTCCGCTCTTATAATAATCATCATCATCATGATGATGACGATTATTTGCCTTTTGGCGTTCTCTGGTCTGACACTGGTGAGACGAGGCCCTAAAGAAGGCTGTCTCTTGTGTAGGCCAATCAGTTGCAAAGACAATGCCATACATTTCGATTTGAGACCCCCCCCACCTCCTACGCATTTCACAAGTAGTGACTAATCCCATATCTGCATTTCCCATAAATATGCTAAATTCCTCTTGATATGCAAATTCATTTGTCAAGGCGCCCTTCCCCCTCCAACCTCAGCTTAAATATACGCTGCCAAGCCTGGTGGTGTTCATTCAGACGCTTTCTTTCCGACAGACCTGTTCTTCACCTGAGGATGGCTGCTTGCGTTGTGGCTGAAACGTCGTGAGAATTGTATTTTATGATGTATTTTATAATTTTATTATTTCCCTTCTACGTGACTTTACCGAAATAACCAAGAAGATGAATGCCATACATATGTAGAGGAGTAAAATGGGGACGTGACGAAAGCGGGGTCACTGTGGGAACGGGTAGAGTAAGCAGGGTGAAGAGGGAACCAGGGGTAGAGAGAGGGATCGAGTGGTGAGTCTGGGGAGAAGCCGGTGGTAGCCGTAGAGGTGCTTCTCTCTCCGCTCGGTGGAGTCGGCAGAGTCCCCGATCCGACACGAGAGAGAGAGACCGGAGCTAGCCGGCAGGGACCCGACTCAGAGTAGGAGCCCTAGCCCCTGGGAGTTGTGTACCCTGCTGTGGTGTTATTGTTCACCTTTAAGAAACCCTGGCGAAAGCCCATAACTTACCTCCGCCTCCGAGTGCGTCCGTGGGAACTCCTCAACACATATTTAGAGAATTCAAATATGGGACCCTTCTTGGGTGTCAAGATGTTAAACCACCAAACAGAAACCTTTTGCAAGGAGTCCCGTCTGCATTGACCACACACGGTGCTTGTGGTGAACACGCAAACACAAAACATTCTCTGATAATATATGCATGGTGTGGACCAATCAGTTCCAAAGACAATGCAAATATTATTAGAGAAAGTACGTGTCGTTAATGCAGACAGGATTCCTTGCAAAAGGTTTCTATTTGGTTTTTAAACATTTTAACACCTCCTGTTTTTTTTTGCCAGAAAGAGTAAAACACCCTTTTCTTATCAACATGATGATAACTTTGTACATAAGAGCTTTTTTTGGGGGGGGGGCGGGGGGAGGGGGGCAGATCGTGTAAATATAAATGTGTCGTCATTACCGCCACCGCCACCCCGAGGCGGCCAATCAGGAAGGGGTTTGTCACGGAACACAACATTTGCCCAACTAGTTACTGGATCAGCAACTTCCCGCTATTTGTATATTTCCGCCATTTTACATAGCGGCCACCATTAGTATAGTCTGCCAATGTAGGCGGCAGAGCGTTAGGTGGTCGGGTGGATGGGTGGCGGTCATCCGCCGTGAATAGCGAGGATATTCTCCGTGTGGGGGGCACTCATAGTTGGGGGGGGGGGGTGTGGTTATGTGGAAGTGGGCAGGGCTAACAGAAAAGCTGGGCGAGGGGGGCGCTGTGAGCCTGTGGTCACGTGACAGACCCAGCAGGTGCCATGGGTTGACTGAGTGAGATGTGCCAACTCGATGCGTTTTAGCCGCCCCAGAGCTCCGTTCGTTGTTGTGAGCATCGCTCCTCTGCCCTCCGTTGTTGCCGGAGGGCGACTGCCTCCAACTTCCCAGTAGCAGCAGCAGCGTCCTTCACGAGCCCTATCCACAGAGGCCGATCGTGACACCGCTGACCTCCGTTGACTCGGCAAAGTCCCCTCAGCTCCACATCCTCCCTCCCCCCTGTACCCCCACCAGCTTCCACCTCCTCTCTCCGGCCCGCGTCACAAAGGCGCCGTGGTGACGTCACCGTCACTCGCTGTGGCGGCACGTGGCGGGCGTCGTCGTGTGTGCCGCCGCCACCCCGCCACGCTGAGCCTACCACGGGGGCCCCCTTTCGTTGGCTTACCGGAACCCCAGGACGTGCAGCTTCTTATATCCGGGCATCTTCTCGAACACGGGCAGCATCTGCGCGTGGTAAGACGAGGGGCGGGGACAGTCGACGAAAGGGGGGAGGGGGGGGAGGACTTCAATTCGAGCGAGAATCAACGCGGTGTTCACGTCGGCCCGTGCCAACCGTGGATTTCCCCGCTTGGGGCCCGAGTCCCGGTGGTGCCACCACAGCCGCGTCTTCCACACCCCTCACCCATTTCCTCTCTTAACAACGCCATTAAGATGGCCCACAATTCCCCTCTGCCCCCACTCCGGGCGTAAAACTGGGCCGGCTAAATCGTCACGATCGTCATCATTGTGTTCAGTTTGTTGTCCATCCCCCACCACCCTTTCCCCCCACTCCCGCGCATTCGGTTAGCACGGTTGGCAAGGTACGGTGCGAAAGAAGTTCAGCATGCACACACACATAGACTCACATAGTCACTCACCCACTCACATAGTCACTCTCCCACTCACATAGCCACTCACCTACTCACACAGTCACTCACCCACTCACATAGTCACTCACCCACTCACATTGTCACTCACCCACTCACACAGTCACTCACTCACACAGTCACTCACCCACTCACATAGTCACTCACCCACTCACACAGTCACATAGTCACTCACCCACTCACACAGTTACCCACTCACATAGTCACTCACCCACTCACACAGTCACTTACCCACTCACATAGTCACTCACTCACTCACACAGTCACTCACCCACTCACATAGTCACTCACCCACTCACATTGTCACTCACCCACTCACGTAGTCACTCACCCACTTACACAGTCACTCACCCACTCACATAGTCACTCACCCACTCACATAGTCACTTACCCACTCACATAGTCACTCACCCACTCACATAGTCACTCACCCACTTACACAGTCACTCACCCACTCACATAGTCACTCACCCACTTACACAGTCACTCACCCACTCACACAGTCACTCACCCACTCACACAGTCCCTCACCCACTCACATAGTCACTCACCCACTCAGACAGTCACTCACCCACTCACATAGTCACTCACCCACACACTCACCCATTCTCCAATTAGCACGGTTGGCTACGTACAGTGCGAAAGAAGTTCAACATATACACTACTGTACAGTACACTATACACTACACACCACTAATATACACTACACCACGATACTACACGACTATACACTACAATATACACTACACTATACACCACTAATAAACACTACACACCACTAATATAAACTGCACTATACACTACACTAATACAAGCTACACTACTATAAACTACCCTACACACTACACTAATATACACTACACCATACACTACACTAATATACACTACACTACTATATACTACACTAATATACACTACACTATACACTACACTAATATACTCTTACACCACGATACTACACGACAATACACTACACTACACACTACACTAATATACACTACACTACTATACACTAATATACACTACACTATACACTACACTACTATACACTAATATACACTACACTATACACTACAGTAATATACACTACACTACTATACACTACACTAATATACACTACACTATACACTACACTACTATACACTAATATACACTACACTATACACTACACTACTATACACTACACTAATAGACACTACACTACACACTACAGTAATATATACACTACACTAATATACACTACACTATACGCTACTATACACTACACTATACACTACAGTAATATACACTATACTACTATACACTACACTAATTTACGCTACACTATACACTACACTACTATACACTAATATGCACTACACTATACTATACAGTAATATACACTACACTACTATACACTACACTAATATACGCTACACTATACAGTACACTAATATACTAATATACACCACGATACTACATCGACAACGCTCACTCTGGCTGAAGGAGTGGCAACAACTTTAGTCACCCGCCCCCCCCCCCCGCCCGCTCTCTCCGCGAGTGGGGGGGGGATGCCGTGAGCCGCCTCCGATGACGTACACGGGAGAGAGACAGGGACGTACGCAACATACGTCATCGGAATGGAGATTCGGAAGAAAAACTGATGACTTGTACGCACGGCCATCGGAACTCGAAAAGGGTTTTTAACCGGCGCACGCTCGCTGACTCTCACTCGCTCACCCTCGCTCACCCTCTATCGCTCACCCACACTCGCTCACACTCATTCGCTGACCCTCGCTCACCTTCTATCGCTCACCCACGCTCGCTCACACTCGCTCACTGACACTCGCTCACCCTCTATCGCTCACCCACGCTCGCTGCCCCTCACTAACCTCTATCGCTCACCCACGCTCGCTCACACTCGCTCACTGACACTCGCTCACCCTCTATCGCTCACACTCGCTCGCTGACCCTCGCTCACCCTCTATCGCTCACCCACGCTCGCTCACACTCGCTAACCTCTATCACTCACCCACGTTCGCTCACACTCACTCGCTGACCCTCGCTCACCCTCTATTGCTCACCCTCTATCGCTCACCCACGCTCGCTCACACTCGCTGACCCTCGCTCCCCCTCTCTCGCTCACCCACGCTCACTCACACTCGCTCGCTGACCCTCGCTAACCCTCTAACCCACGCTCACTAACCCTTTAACCCATGCTCGCTCACCCTCTAACACTCGCTCACTAACCCTATAAACCACGTTTGCTAACCCTCTAAACCCACACTTGCTAACCCTCTAACCCACGCACGCAAACCCTATAACCCACGCTCGCTAACCCTCTAACCCACGCTCGCTAACCCTCTAACCCACGCTCGCTAACCCACTAACCCACACTCGCTAACCCTTTAACCCACGCTCGCTAACCCACGCTCAACATTCCCGCGTCGAGCAGACGAACTTGGGGGCGGCCGCGATTAAGCTCATTACGAAGCGCGCGGCCTTTCATCCGCGCTCCCATTAATCGGGGACGGGACACGGCGCCTCGCACCCCAGTGACCGTCGCTCCATCTCGCTAATTGATGCTACCGATCATAACCGCGCGTGCTCGACCGACGTAATTGGACGGGAGTGGCGACCGGCGCATTCGCCAATTTGCAGGCCCCTTAAATTGACGACGCACCGCTTGGCTACGGCCGCGACGTTCGCTGGGGGTGGGTCGCGCAGCGCGTAGCTTCGTGCGCCGCTTAAGACCTCCCAAATAAAATCAACGGTAATTAGAGCGCGACCCGCCGATGCATCAACCCTCCGCCCTCCCGCCCCCGAACGACCGCATCCGCGTGCACGCGCGCGAACCCGAACGCGACTCGGCAATTGCGTTCGGAGTGACAAGCCTGCCACAGCCACCACCACCACCACCAGGGTAATAAGCCATCGTTTGTGCTGGGCCAGGGTCCCTTCTGAAAGAGGAGGAACAAACAAAGGAGCCGTACAGCTCAGTGTTGCGTGGACCTCGCCTGGCAAAGGAAACAAAATAAAATCACAGTTTTGGTGTCCGGATTGCAGCGCAGAATCGGTCCACGGTTCGACTCCATCTCCTCCGGTGGGCAGTTGAAAAACAACGGAGGGAAGTTTTATAAAATCACCCGCCACCCCCCTCCCACGCCCAGCCGCTACTGCTTCTGTCCACCACCCGGCAGGTGCGGTCCACCGCGGTTAGTCAACGGCGGGCAGGTTCGCGTGCGGCGGCGTCCCGTGGCGGTGGCACTGGTGGCGTAAAACGTGGGTTACCCTCTAAGCGGCGCCTCCGCTAGAGCGGCCCCCCAAGCGGAGGCCACCTTCCTACTGGCGGTAGCGAGAGCAAAGCACTTGCAGCGGAGGGGAATGGGAGGGGAAGCTGCGCCTTTGCCCTCCTCCAAAATATAAATGTTGGATAAAACGTCTCCTCAATTCGACCTCCGCTGGAAAGCAGGCGTGAATCCGCGGCACAAAAAACCCGACGTATAATTAATTCCGCTCTCCGTACCTCTGACTAACGACCACCCCTTCGCACGCGACCTTCGCCGTGACCTTCCTGTTGCCGGGGGGAGGTGGGGGGTGGTTTCCGGGGCCGGGAAGGTTGGCCGTGGCCGGTGGAAAGTTGTTGAGTTCTATGTATTTGTCGCACCAAGCGGAGGACTCCGGACGCCAGGGGTTAGTCGGGTCGTCCCCTGTGTGGGCGAGCGAGGGTGATCGAGCCGCGGCGGTCGTCGTCGGATGCGGCGGCAGAGAACGTGGAGATCGAATCGAATCAGAGCAGGGTAAAGCGGTGACGTACGTTTAACTTCTTTGGCACCATACGTAGCCAACCGTGCTCATCGAAGGACGGGAGAGTGTGGGGGCGAGTGACTGTGTGAGTGGGTGAGTGACTGTGTGAGTGACTGTGTGAGTGACTGTGTGAGTGGGTGAGTGACTGTGTGAGTGGGTGAGTGACTGTGTGAGTGACTGTGTGAGTGACTGTGTGAGTGGGTGAGTGACTGTGTGAGTGGGTGAGTGACTGTGTGAGTGGGTGAGTGACTATGTGAGTGGGTGAGTGACTACGTGAGTGGGTGAGTGACTGTGTGAGTGAGTAACTATGTGAGTGGGTGAGTGACTGTGTGAGTGGGTGAGTGACTATGTGAGTGGGTGAGTGACTATGTGAGTAGGTGAGTGACTGTGTGAGTGGGTGAATGACTGTGTGAGTGTGTGAGTGGCTATGTGAGTGGGTGAGTGACTGTGTCAGTAGGTGAGTGACTGTGTGAGTGGGTGATTGACTGTGTGAATGGGTGAGTGTCTGTGTGTCTGTGTGAGTAGGTGAGCGACTATGTGAGTGAGTGAGTGACTATGTGAGTGGGTGAGTGACTGTGTGAGTTGGTGAGTGACTGTGTGAGTGGGTGAGTGGCTATGTGAGTGGGTGAGTGACTATGTGAGTGGGTGAGTGACTATGTGAGTGGGTGAGTGACTGTGCGAGTTGGTGAGTGACTATGTGAGTGGGTGAGTGACTATGTGAGTGGGTGAGTGACTGTGTGAGTGGGTGAGTGACTATGTGAGTAGGTGAGTGACTGTGTGAGTGGGTGAGTGACTATGTGAGTGGGTGAGTGACTGTGTGAGTGGGTGAGTGACTATGTGAGTAGGTGAGTGACTGTGTGAGTGGGTGAGTGGCTATGTGAGTGGATGAATGACTGTGTGAGTCTATGTATGTATGTTGAACTTCTTTTGCTCCGTACGTAGCCAACCGGACCATGCCAATGTTCTGACATTCCGGACTGTTCCGGACCGTGCCGACGTTCCGCTCCGTTCCGGTCCGTGCCGACTGTTCCGACGTTCCAACGTTTCGGACCGTTCCAGACCGTTCCGGCTGAAATAAATTTATTTTTGACACCGCAGGTCGCACGCGCGCACGCAGTGGCGGCAGTGGAGGCGGTGGGGTAAAGCGTGCGTACTCGCGGCCGCGAGCGCACCTTGCGTCGGAGTTGCTCGGTGATCCGGTGGAGCTGCGTGGAGCTGGGCGGAACCACGCAGGGCACGGGCTGGGTCACGCGCACGCTAAACTCCACCACCTGCACCAGGGGGTGCTCCGGAACGGCGTTGGGAAGAGCCGGCTCCTGCGGGACGCCACCGTCGGCCCCCACGTTGCCCAAACACAACGCCACACAGCGCGAGCGAGGCTCTTGTCACGAATAGTGTTTTTTCTTTCTTAAACAGAAATCAAACGTTGTTTTTGCAGTTTAACACGTAGCAACAGTAGTAGTAGTGTACGGCTTTCACAACCAAATGTTATGCATAAGAAAAGTTATTATTTTTTTCCGGTTAGATCACGTAAATATATAAATCTGGTTGTTCAATCGGCCACCACCGACTAGTAAGGTTTGTCACGGAAACAAAAGTGCCCAATTCGTTACTAGTTCAGCACTAAGCGGTTGTGTGTCGTAGAGTAAACCCACAACAACTTTTACAATTCGAGTAGCCGTGACGTTACAACAACTACCAGCATCATTAGGCGACAGCCAGAATTGTGGACATATCCTGTTTTGATTGCGCCTGCAAATTGTTTAAGCTAATACTCTACCACTGTTTGACGACTGTTACGCCGCTGGCAGATCCGCTACTGATTCATCGCTAAGCATACTAAATGCGCTTCACCATTCTGCTCTGTGCTTTGCACTGGATGTACCATACAGGATCCACCATTGTAGCCTCTACTTAAAATACGATCTCACATCAAACACAACGGTGCAAGAAGAAATCTACATTGGGCCCTGCTCATCCAGAAAATCATTCTCGGCAAATCTGTTCAATACTTAGCTAATTCAAAGCTTTTTATCTATCCCTTGCCTGGTATACAGGAGGCCGTGGATTCAATCCCGACCTTGATGCCTGCATATTTGGAATTTTCATGTCTCTCTCTCCCCGCGGTCGCGTGGATTTTTTTACGGGTCCTCCGTTTTTTTCGCCCCACGTTTAAAATCAACGTCACGTGATGGTGATGAGCCACTTTGTTGAGCTATCATTTGCGACAGCCTGGTCGCTTCTGAAAAAGAGCTACAAAGTGCAGTGGGCCTTAGTTTTATATTTACACGGCATACAAAGCTGCAGATGCCGGCATTGTGCAACGGTCAGCACACACTGTATTTAACCTTCCTTGATACCAGGGACCCGTCTTGTTAAAGCCTATCCCACCTGAGCGGCTGCCTACACTGCAGTCGGGGTGAAGCGATGGATTCAACCTCGCGTGCAGATGGAGTGTGACGGCATTTGCCACGAGGGATGTCCGTGCCTCGAGGAGGCCTTCTTCCAGCAGAGGATAGACCACGGCTGGTGGTGTGGATGTCATTGGTAGTGAGCGTGTTTTACCGTGCCAGGCCCGGCCGAGCTGCCGATGATCTCGTTGGAGGAAGAGGCGTTCCCACTGCCACCGACATCACCTTTCCCCGACGCCGACGCCTCGGCTGCGCTACCGCCTTCTTCAGCGGCGCTGCTGCCCTCTTCAGCTGCAGTACCACCCTCTTCAGCGGCGCTACCACCCTCTTCAGTTGCACTACCGACCTCTTTAGTACCGCTACTGCCCTCTCCAACTACACTAACAGCGTCTTCAACGGCGCTACCGCCCTCTTCAGCAACTGTACTCCCCTCAGCTCCAGAACCACCCTCTTCAGCTCCAGAACCACCCTCTCCAGCTGCGGTACCACTCTCTTTAGCTGCAGCACGAACCTCTTCAGCGGTGCTACTGCCCTCTTCAACTGCGACACCATCCTCTCCAGCTGTAGCACCATCCTCTCCAGCTGTAGCACCACCCTCGTCAGCTGTAGCATCACCCTCTTTAGCTGCAGCACCACCCCCTTCAGCTGTGCTACTGTCTTCTTCAGCGGCGCTACCACCCTCTTCATCTGCGGCACGAATCTCTTCAGTGGCTCTACTGCCCTCTTCAGCTGTGGCATCACCCTCTCCAGCGGTGGCATCACCCTCTTCAACTGCACTAGCGCCCTCTTCAGCGACGGCACCGTCCTCTTCAGCTGCGGCACCACCGTCTTCAGATTCTTCGGCTGCGGCACCACCCTCTTCAACTGCACTACCGCCCTCTTTAGCTGCACTACCGCCCTCTTCAGACGCACTACTGCCTTCTTTAGCTGGACTATCGCCCTCTTCAGCTGGACTACCACCCTCTTCAGCTGCACTACCACCCTCTTCAGTTGCACTACCGACCTCTTCAGTAGTGCTACTGCCCTCTCCAACTACACTAACACCGTCTTCAACGGCGCTACCGCCCTCTTCAGCAACAGTACTCCCCTCAGCTCCAAAACCGCCCTCTACAGCTGTGGTACCACTCTCTTCAACTGCGACACCACCCTCTGCAGCTGTAGCACCACCCTCGTCAGCTGTAGCACCACCCTCTCCAACTGTGGCATCACCTTCTTCAACTGCACTAGCACCCTCTTCAGCGACGGCACCGTCCTCTGCAGCTGCGGCACCACCCTCTTCAGATTCTTCGGCTGCAGCACCATCCTCTTCAGCTGCGGTACCACCCTCTTCAACTGTGCTACTGTCATCTTCAGCGGCACTACCACCCTCTTTAGCTGCACTACCGACTTCTTCAGTAGCGCTACTGCCCTCTCCAACCACACTAACACCGTCTTCAACGGCGCTACCGCCCTCTTCAGCAACAGTACTCCCCACAGCTCCAGAACCATCCTCTCCAGCTGTACCACCACCCTCTTCAACTGCACTACTGCCCTCTTCAGCTGTGGCACCACCCCCTTCAACTGCACTACTGCCCTCTTCAGCGGCGGCACCACCCTCTTCAGCTGTGGCACCATCCTTTTCAGCTGCACTACCGCCCTCTTCAGACACACTACCGCCCTCTTTAGCTGCACTACTGCCCCCTTCAGCTGCACTACCGCCCTCTTCAGCTACACTACCGCCCTCTTCAACTGCACTACCACCCTCTTCAGCTACACTACCGCCCTCTTCAACTGCACTACCACCTTCTTCAGCGGCGGCACCACCCTCTTCAGCTTCTTCGGCCGCGGCACCACCCTGTTCAGCTGAGGCACCGGTGACCTCGGGCGGCGCTGGCATCCCGGCGTTCCCAACACCGGCGGGCGCCACCACCGTCGGCGTTTGTATCGTCGTGGCGAAAAGCCCGGCAAACGCAGAGGTCACGACCCTCACGGCGGTCGAGATGACAGAGCCGGCGACCCCCGGGGGGGTCGTTGTTCCGGTCAAGGTCGCCGGTGGCGGCGGCGGAGTCTTAGGGGCGGCTGGGGGCGGCCCGGTGAGATATGGAGGCGGAGATTCTCGTGTAGTTCCTGCGGGGAGGATGAGGCGGGGGGTTAAGATCGCGAGGGGTTAAGTGTGGACAACCTACGGGGTCCCAGGGCACCGTGGGAAGCGGAGCGGGTCGGTCGATAACAACGATCTCTCAACCGTCATCATCATTATCATCACAATAATCAGTCATTATCATCATTATAATCATAATTTGTTGTCATTCCCATCCTTTTATTGCTCAACCTTACTTCATCATCGTTTGCATGGAAATCATCAAGATCGTAATTTTTTCATGGTAATTTTAACGATCATCATCATCATCACCATTCGTCATCGCATCTCTGTGATTGGTTAAGCCAGCATCACCGCAAACACTCTCGTTGTCAGGCACACGTGGTCAGGTAATCGTCACCGTACGGACAGACATTCCACTCTGCCTTGCCATGAGCACGTGGAATTGCCTCCCTGGCGCCAGCCAGGCAAAGGAGACGGAGCAACGGTCCCATTTGGGAGGCGCCTCTGAGGCTCCTTGTAGATACCTCTGGGGGGAGTGGGCAACCAACGATAACAAGGGGAGACATTTAGCCTCGAATTCGGTCAAACAAGAAACTTAAAGACCACTCAACATTTCAAGAGACGCACCGATGCACCCGTGGTGAATTCCCGGTAACGGTGGGCCCCTGAAAGAGTCTATGGGCAATGTAAGTCTATGGGCAATGGTGGGGGGAGGGAGCCTAGCTCTCACATACGGCTCTGGGCGGCATTCAGATCCCCGGGGAGGTCCTTCGTCCAGCAGCGGATTGAGCAAGGCACGGGGGCAATACGACGCGTGACGGAAACCGGCGGGGCGAGATCGTGACTACGAGAGGAGTTGGAAGAAAGACGAAAAAAAAAATTAAGAATAAAAAATTAATATTAATAAAATAAGTTAATATTGGGATGTGAATGTTAAAAAGAAACCCGCTAAAATTTACTGACTAGGAAAATAAAAAATATCGAGTAAAAATAAAAGGTTAAAATAAAATGAAAGTCTCCACACAAAAATATCGCGAACATAAAGCAAACAGCGTGGAGGGATTTGTGACGCGGCTGTGCACATCAACACCGAGGACTGGCGGCAGAGGACAAACAATAACGAGTAGGTCGTGAGCAGCGCCATCATTCACACTGCGCACTCAAGCACCGTCAGAGCTCCCGCATGCCACCACCACCACCATTGTCACCACCGCCACCACTGCCACCACCACCGCCACCACCACCACCGCCACTACTACCACCGCCACCACCGCCGCCACCGCCACCACCGCCACCACCGCAACCACTGCCACCACCACCGCCACCACCACCACCACCACCACCGCCACTACTACCGCCACTACCACCGCCACCACCGCCGCCACCATCGCCACCACCGCCGCCACTACTACCACCGCCACCACCGCCACCACCACCACCATCACCACCACCGCCACCACCACCACTGCCACCACCACCACCACCGCCACTACGACCACCGCCACCACCACCACCGCCACTACTACCACCACCACCACCACCACTACTACCACCACCACCACCGCCACCACCACCACCGCCACTACTACCACTGCCACCACCACCGCCACTACTACCACCGCCACTATTACCACCGCCACCACCACCGCCACTACTACCACCACCACCGCCACCACCACCGCCACTACTACCACCGCCACCACCGCCACCACCACCGCCACTACTACCACCGCCACCACCACCACCACCACCACCACCGCCGCCACCACCACCGCCACCACCACCGCCACCACCACCGCCACCACCACCACCACCGCCACCGCCGCCACCACCACCGCCACCACCACCGCCACCACCACCACCGCCACCACCACCTCCACCACCACCGCCACCACCACCGCCACCACCACCACCACCACCACCGCCACCGCCACCGCCGCCACCGCCACCGCCACCGCCGCCACCGCCACCGCCACCGCCACCGCCGCCGCCGCCGCCGCCGCCGCCACCGCCACCGCCACCGCCGCCGCCAGCCACCCGCCACCGCCACCGACCACCGCCGCCGCCGCCGCCGCCGCCGCCGCCGCCGCCGCCGCCACCGCCACCGCCGCCGCCGCCGCCGCCACCGCCACCGCCGCCACCGCCACCGCCACCACCACCGCCACCGCCACCGCCGCCACCGCCACCGCCACCTCCACCACCACCACCGCCACCACCACCACCGCCACCGCCACCGCCACCGCCACCGCCGCCACCACCACCGCCACCACCACCGCCACCACCGCCACCGCCACCCACCACCACCGCCACCACACCACCACCACCACCACCGCCACCACCACCACCACCACCACCACCACCACCACCGCCACCACCACCACCACCGCCACCACCACCACCGCCACCACCACCACCGCCACCACCGCCACCCACCGCCACCATCACCACCGCCACCACTACCACCGCCACCACCACTATAATCCGTCTCGTCAAGCCGCCTGGAGGCCACCCGGGGACGCTGGCGGATTTCTCGCGCGACGGCGGCGGTGACGGCGGCGGTGACGGCGGCGGTGACGGCGGCGGTGACGGCGGCGGCGAGAGATTCATCATCGGCCGTCGCACGAGATGTGAGGCTCCCTCCCCCCACCGAGGAAGCAAGGTGTCAAAACCTCGATTTTTTTTTCTCTTTGGTTATGGTGGGGGGAGAGGAGGGGAGGGAGGTGGGTGGGTGGGGGGGCCCAGATCTTAACGGCGTGGGTTTGCTGAAGAGTGCCAGGGCGCGGGATACCGGCGCGCGACGAGGCATGAGGTCGACGCAGAGGTCACCCCGCGGGACGATATTTTTTCCGCATTTCCATCGCCGCGACGGCGGTCACCGCTCCCGTGAACGTCACTCGCCGGACTCCTCCTCCAGCCGTGTGGGAGACAGCGGCAACTTTCAATGACCTCAAATCCACTCTGAATCAAGACCTAAACACCATGGGGAAATATTTCCAGAAATGGAGGCTCAAGCCAAATCCCCAGTAAACAACAGCCACTGCATTTCATCTTGATAGTAAGAACGCCAAGCACACAGTGAAAGTGACTTTCTGCGGCAACACCGTGCGGCATGACCCCGCTCCGACCTATCTCGCCGTGAAGCTGGACCCGACGCCAACTTTCCATGACCACCGGAAACAGGAGGCTGCCAAGACCAAAACAAGGGTCGGGCTGGTCCAGCAACTGGCGAGCACCCTCAGTGCTAGGGGCATCAACGATGGCGCTTGTGTAGCCGAATACTGTGCACCAGCATGGACCAGAGGTAGTCACCACTCGACTCGATGATGTCCAACTGAACCCTCAAGTCGGCCCCGACACCCTGGGGATGCCCGTGCTGTCACCAAATCTCTCCCCCACCGCTGCAACCCACCGGGAAGCCCCTTCTCAATCATCGGGACCTCAACAACGTCCCACGCATTCGCTTCAAGTCACGCGGCAAAGCCCTTTAGGACTCACGATGCTTCACCTTCAACGATGCGACGTCAACTCCCGGTGAAGCTTGGATAGTTGAATGGAGTTCAAAAGAACTCACAAACACCTTGTTACCCCGAGCTCTCAATACTCTGAGAGTGCGCTGTTTTTGAGTTGTACGCCTTTTGGTGTCATCTGGTCCAACACCAATGGAGACTAGGCTCTAAGGAAAGCTGTCTCGGGTGTGGACCAATCAACTTCACGGACAGTGCATATCATTACCATTATCAGAGTTGTTTCTTTTTGTTTGCATTTTGACTGCTTGTGTTGCGGTTATTGCAAACATGATGCCTTGTATAAAGGTGTCAGTTTTGTACCAGTTTAAAGGGTAAAAACCTACTACTAAACACCTTGTTGTGAAAGACTCAACACAGAACTCCACTGGGTTTGCTGCTGTTCCAAGAAGCTCATGGTCCACTCTAAATCGCATTCAGCGCACAAACCAGGCTGCAGATACGGATAGCTGATGCACAAATAGAAAATTAAAAACTCTCCAGGAGTGGTGCGACTGCGATCATCCAGAACAGATTTCATAACGTATGCCGCAATCTCCAATCCACAAATACAAAGGAGACATCGCAGCGATGATGATACACTTCGCTGCTCCTGATGCAGTTGTCTGGCTTAACCCACTTGAATGTTAAATTGTTTCTCTCCAACTACATCAGCCGTATGAAAGCAAAATACTTTCACCACCACCATTCAACCACTCACTCACCCGCCCACTCAATCAGTCACCCACAATCACTCACTCACCCGATCACTCACAATCACTCACCCACTCACTCACCCGCCCACTCAATCAGTCACGCACCCACAATCACTCATCCACTCACAATCACTCACCCACTCACTCGCTCACAATCAATCACCCACTCACTCACCCGCCCACTCAATCAGTCACTCACAATTACTCACGCACCCACAATCACTCACCCACTCACTCACCCACTCACTCGCTCACAATCAATCACCCAATCACTCACCCGCCCATTCAATCAGTCATTCACAATCACTCACGCACCCACAATCACTCACCCACTCACTCACCCGCTCACAATCAATCACCCAATCACTCACCCGCCCAGTCAATCAGTCACTCACAATCACTCACGCACCCACAATCACTCACCCACTCACTCGCCCACTCACTCACCCGCTCACAATCAATCACCCAATCACTCACCCGCCCAGTCAATCAGTCACTCACAATCACTCACGCACCCACAATCACTCACCCACTCACTCGCTCATAATCACTCGCTCACTCACCCAACCCCTCCACTGAAACCACAAGGCTGCTCACGTTGAGTCTGCTCGCCCTCGAAGCCGCCACGCACTCTGTGCACGTGCAAAGTGGCAACAGCGCAAACTGCTGCTGCTGGGTGAAAGTTGACCCCTCCTGGGTCAACTGGGTGGAGGAGTGGAGGGTGTGGGGGGGTGTGGGGGGTGGAGTAAGGCATCGTGCCGACGGCAGTGTCTGCGTGTCACTAACGACCCGTCAAGACGTCTTTAGTGAGACGCGGCGATGACCCCCCGTGAGTGGTCAGGGAGATGGATGGGGCGGGTTCCCTACAGCTGATGACGCCCCCCACCACCCCCCACCTCCCCCAACCTCCCCCCTCACCTACACCCCCCCACCACCCGCCCCACCTCTCCCTCCCACCTCCCCCCCACCACCCCCCCACCTCCCCCCCACCTCACCGCCCACCTCCCCTCCCACCTCCCCCCCCACCTCCCCTCCCACCTCCCCCCCCATCTCCCCCCCACATCCCCCCCCACCACCTGCCCCCACTTCCCGCACCACCTCCCCCCCCACCTCCCCCCCCACCTCCCCCCCACCTCCCCCCCACCACCCGCCCCACATCCCCCCCCACCTCCCCCCACCTCGCCCCCCACATCCACCCCCACCTCCCCCCCCACCTCCCCCCACCTCGCCCCCCACATCCACCCCCACCTCCCCTCCCACCTCCCCCCCTCCCCCCCACCTCCACCCCCACCTCCCCCCCTCCCCCCCACCTCCCCCCCATCTCCCCCCCATCTCCCCCCCCCGTTTCCTGTTCAGTCTGGACGGCACGCATCATTTAGCACTGATAATAGTAAGAGAATAATTGGTCATGATACGACTACTACATTACAGCCGAATTAGGCTGCCAAATCGCAACCGTGACGAGTTTTTGCCCTCTTGAAAGTGTCGGCGGTAAACCAAAAATCCGTGGCCCGCGAAGTCATTTGAAGTCATCTGATGCGACGATCGCGATGATTATAATTATACCGCCTTCCACGGACTACAATACGCGCTCTGTTCGCCTGTGTATTTTAAATGTAAAGTCAGAGGGCGAGTCTTAATCATGGTGTGTGTGTGGGAGCGGTGGCGCAGCGGTTAGCGCTACGCTGCGCTACGAACCCGGCGACCCGGTGACGATTATCTGAACCGGTCCTGGGCCTTACCTAGGTCGACTCAGCCTCAAATAAGTACCTCGTGCGGTGTGTAAACATCGCCACTGTGGAGACAAAGACGGCCGGGCGTGGTGTTGGCCACCCACCCCCTCGTGTGCCGTGCCCGCCTTCATAGGTGCGCGCTAACAGCACTTGCCCCTACAGTCTGTTAAGGCTATACGGGGGATCTTTGTTTTTTCTCTTTGTGTGGGGGCACAGTAGGGGGGTACAGCAGGTGCGTCTGCCAGTCGTCTCAGTCAGCCAACCCATGGCACCTGCTGGGTTTGTCCCGTAACCTCCTGTTGTCAGCAGCGAGCACTTTGACACTTCACGTGGCCTCAAGGTGCACCTGGCCTGGCACAGGCGCCGTGGTGACGTCACCGTCACTTAGTGGCGAATGGCGGGGCATTGATGTGTGTGTGTATGTTTCTGCGTGTGTGTTTCTGTGTTCGTGTCTGCGTGTGTGTGTGTATGTTTCTGCGTGTGTCTGCGTGTGTTTCTGCGTGTCTGCGTGTGTATATGTTTCTCTGTGTATTTCTGTGTATGTGTCTGCGTGTGTGTTTCTGTGTGGTTGTGCTTCTGTGTGTGTGTCTGCGTGTGTGTATGTTTATGTGTGTGTGTTCTCTGTGTGTGTTTCTGTGTGTGTGTCTGCGTGGGTGTGTATGTTTCTGTGTGTGTGTCTGCGTGTGTGAGTTTCTGTGTGTGTGTCTGCGTGTGTGTGTATGTTTCTGTGCGTGTGTTTCTGTGTGTGTCTGCGTGTGTGTATGTTTCTGTGTGTCTGCGTGTGTGTATGCATCTGTGTGTGTGTTTCTGTGTGTGTGTGTTTCTGCGTGTGTGTCTGTGTGTGTGTGTCAGTCGACCCGTGGCACCTGCTGGGTCTGCCCCGTGACCTCCTGCCAGCGGGCGTTCGACACTTCACGTGGCCTCATGGTGCACATGGCCTGGCACAAGCGTCGTGGTGACGTCACCGCCACTTAGTGGCGAATGGCGGTTGTTGTTGTTTCTGCGTGTGTCTTTGTGTGTGTATGCGTGTGTGTGTCTGCATGTGTGTATGTTTTTGTGTGTGTGTGTTTCTGCGTGTGTGTGTGTCTGTGTGTATGTATCTGTGTGTGTGTCTCTGTGTGTGTGTGTGGGGAGCGCTAGTGCAGCGGTTAGCGCGCTGCGCTACGAATGCTGCCGCACGAGTTCGACTCCCGCTCGCGACCAATCCCGGTGACGATCATCTCCACCGGTCCCGGCTCTCTCCGAGGTCCACTCGGCCTTGAATGAGAGTCGGTGTGTAAACAAAGGCCTGTTCTAGGACGTTACCTGCTAGATGCGGGAGGCCGCCTGCTGACGTCTGCACGGTGGCGTCCTTGTGTCCGCACTCCACCTCCTTGCCGTCCCTGGGCACAGACACAGCAGATGGACAATGTGCGGTGTCCGTGCCGTGGTGAACCGGCGTGCACCGACCGCTGGGTGGACAGGGGCGACGGTGGCGGTGGCGGCGGCGGTGGTGGCGATTTGGGAAAGTTGGCACCGTCGCTTGAACTGCCGTTTTCCGGGAGCCGGAGTCGAACCGGCGACCTCTGGGTCGCTGGTCGAGCGCGATGCTGACGCGTCGCTCACGCGTCGTGCCCACGTGTCGCTGACGCGTCGTTTGGACACGTGGGTACAACAGAGGTTTGTTCTTTTTTTCGTGGGGTTAGATCATGCAAGTGCAGATGTGGTCGTTTAAACCCGCCGCCATCCCGACACGGACAATATTAGATAAGGTTTGTCACGTGACACAAAAACGTGCCGATTAGTTTACTCGAAAGAACCAAAGAGTATGGATTCCTGCAGTCACGAAAGCTTCAAATCAAGATTGATTATTTTTGGTTCTTTCGGTAAAGTCACGTAGAAGGGAAGTAATAAAATAATAAAAATAAAACAATAAAATACAAATCTCACAACGTTTCGGCCACAACGCAAGCAGCCGTCCTCAGGTGAAGACCAGGTCTGTCGGGGAGACAGCGTCTGAATGACAGCGTCATTCAGCGTCATTCAGACGCTGTCTCCCCGACAGACCTGGTCTTCACCTGAGGACGGCTGCTTGCGTTGTGGCCGACACGTCGTGAGAATTATTTTAATATGTTTTATTTTTATTATTTTATTATTTCCCTTCTACGTGACTTTACCGAAAGAACCAAGAAGAAGAATCCCTGCAATCAGGAAAGCTTCAAATCGAAATCTATTATGGACAGTTATCACCTGGTTACACAAAAAAGCAAACTTACGCGACTGGCAACTACTCTTTAGCCCTTACCTGTGTGGCTCCTCGTGCATTGTAGAAATCTGTCAAGACGGGAGAATGAATGCGTTAAACATTAGCGGGATCTTTCGCTGGACACAAACACAAACACACGTGGTTCTAGAGGTGGCCGGGTGGGTCAGAGGTCATCGGCGCTAAGCCTCCAGGTTACAGGTCCATAAACTCACATTTAAAACTAAACTATTTTTTATTTCGACCAGGTAAGGCTCCACTGTTCAATATAGCAATTCTTTTTCAGAAGCTACCTGGCTATCACAGATGATTGCTCAGCGAAGTGTGCTCATCGTCGTCGTATAGCGAGCGGCTAAACACTCTGAACGCGTGATATTGATTCTTACTGTGGAGGGAAAACCCGGTGGAGCCGGAGAAATATCCACGCGATTACGGGGAGAAAGAGAAGCAAACTCCAAATATACAGCAGCAGGCGTCAGGGTTGGGATCGAACCCACGACCTCCTGTATACCAGGCGAGGTAGTTAACATCTCCTAGCCACCGTGATGATGATGAGAGAGAGACACGCAAACTCCAAATATACAGCAGCAGGCGTCAGGGTTGGGATCGAACCCACGACCTCCTGTACACCAGGCGAGGTAGTTAACATCTCCTAGCCACCGTGATGATGATGAGAGAGAGAGACACGCAAACTCCAAATATACAGCAGCAGGCGTCAGAGTTGGGATTGAACCCATGACCTCCTGTATACAAGGCGAGGTAGTTAACATCTCCTAGCCACCGTGATGATGATGAGAGAGAGAGAGACACGCAAACTCCAAATATACAGCAGCAGGCGTCAGGGTTGGGATCGAACCCACGACCTCCTGTATACCAGGCGAGGTAGTTAACATCTCCTAGCCACCGTGATGATGATGAGAGAGAGACACGCAAACTCCAAATATACAGCAGCAGGCGTCAGGGTTGGGTTCGAACCCACGACCTCCTGTACACCAGGCGAGGTAGTTATCATCTCCTAGCCACCGTGATGATGATGAGAGAGAGAGACACGCAAACTCCAAATATACAGCAGCAGGCGTCAGGGTTGGGTTCGAACCCACGACCTCCTGTACACCAGGCGAGGTAGTTAACATCTCCTAGCCATCGTGATGATGATGAGAGAGAGACGCAAACTCCAAATATACAGCAGCAGGCGTCAGGGTTGGGATTGAACCCATGACTTCCTGTATACCAGGCGAGGTAGTTAACATCTCCTTGCCATCGTGATGATGATGAGAGAGAGACACGAAAACTCCAAATATACAGCAGCAGGCGTCAGGGTTGGGATTGAACCCATGACCTCCTGTGCACCAGGCGAGGTAGTTAACATCTCCTAGCCATCGTGATGATGATGAGAGAAAGAGACGCAAACTCCAATATACAGCAGCAGGCGTCAGGGTTGGGATTGAACCCATGACCTCCTGTGTACCAGGCGAGGTAGTTAACATCTATCCACTGTGGCACCCCACAGGCTGGGTTGTAATTAGTGAGCTGATGGTCTCTGTTCGGTCGCCTATTAGGAAGCCACCTGAAGAAGACCGCTTGTGTTGCGACCGAAACGTCGTGGGTTTTTTGCTTAAAATTTGGATTTTTGTTTTCTACATGACTTCACCGAAAGAACCAAGAATATACTTTGAATCATCCAGATTGAAAACTAATTTCTTTAGAACTGCTTTTTGTGTTTGGCTTGTTGTCCTTCCCGCCGCACCTCCAGTTAGCACGGTCAGTAACACAGAAGTTCAACGTACACACATAGCCTCACATAGTCACTCACACAGATAGTCACTCACACAGTCACTCACATAGTCACTCACCCACTTACATAGTCACTCAACCACTCACACAGTCACTCACTCACTCACACAGTCACTCACCCATTCACACAGTCACTCACCCACTCACATAGTCACTCACCCACTCACCCACTCACACAATCACTCACCCACTCACACAGTCGCTCATCCACTCACACAGTCAATCACCCACTCACACAGTCGCTCACCCACTCACACAGTCACTCATCCACTCACACAGTCACTCACCCACTCACACAGTCACTCACCCACTCACATAATCACTCACACAGTGACTCACCCACTCACACAGTCGCTCATCCACTCACACAGTCACTCACCCACTTACACAGTCACTCACCCACTCACACAGTCACTCACCCACTCACACAGTCACTCACCCACTCACTTAGTCACTCACCCACTCACACAGTCACTCACCCACTCACACAGTCACTCACCCACTCACACAGTCACTCACCCACTCACATAATCACTCACCCACTCACACCGTCACTCACCCACTCACATAGTCACTCACCCACTTACATAGTCACTCATCCACTCACACAGTCACTCACTCACTCACACAGTCACTCACCCATTCACACAGTCACTCACCCACTCACATAGTCACTCACCCACTCACATAGTCACTCACCCACTCACCCACTCACACAATCACTCACCCACTCACACAGTCGCTCATCCACTCACACAGTCAATCACCCACTCACACAGTCGCTCACCCACTCACACAGTCACTCACCCACTCACATAATCACTCACACAGTGACTCACCCACTCACACAGTCGCTCATCCACTCACACAGTCACTCACCCACTTACACAGTCACTCACCCACTCACACAGTCACTCACCCACTCACACAGTCACTCACCCACTCACTTAGTCACTCACCCACTCACACAGTCACTCACCCACTCACACAGTCACTCACCCACTCACACAGTCACTCACCCACTCACATAATCACTCACCCACTCACACCGTCACTCACCCACTCACACAGTCGCTCATCCACTCACACAGTCAATCACCCACTCACATAGTCACTCACCCACTCACACAGTTACTCACCCACTCACACAGTCACTCACCCACTCACACAGTCACTCACCCACTCACATAGTCACTCACCCACTCACATAGTCACTCACCCACTCACCCACTCACACAATCACTCACCCACTCACACAGTCGCTCATCCACTCACACAGTCAATCACCCACTCACACAGTCGCTCACCCACTCACACAGTCACTCACCCACTCACACAGTCACTCACCCACTCACACAGTCACTCACCCACTCGCATAATCACTCACACAGTGACTCACCCACTCACACAGTCGCTCATCCACTCACACAGTCACTCACCCACTTACACAGTCACTCACCCACTCACACAGTCACTCACCCACTCACACAGTCACTCACCCACTCACACAGTCACTCACCCACTCACTTAGTCACTCACCCACTCACACAGTCACTCACCCACTCACACAGTCACTCACCCACTCACACAGTCACTCACCCACTCACATAATCACTCACCCACTCACACTGTCACTCACCCACTCACACAGTCGCTCATCCACTCACACAGTCAATCACCCACTCACATAGTCACTCACCCACTCACACAGTTACTCACCCACTCACACAGTCACTCACCCACTCACACAGTCACTCACCCACTCACACAGTCGCTCATCCACTCACACAGTCAATCACCCACTCACATAGTCACTCACCCACTCACACAGTCACTCACCCACTCACAGTCACTCACCCACTCACATAGCCACTCACCCACTCACACAGACACTCACCCACTCACACAGACACTCACCCACTCACACAGTCACTCACCCACTCACATAGTCACTCACCCACTCACATAGTCACTCACCCACTCACATTGTTACTCACCCACTCACAGTCACTCACCCACTCACATAATCACTCACCCACTCACACAGTCACTCACCCACTCACACAGTCACTCTCTACCCCCTCTCTCTACCCCCCCCCCTCTCTCCCTACTCCATGTCGATGCCCCCCCTGTTTTCTCTCCACCCGAATCAAACGCAAACGTCGCGCCTGGCAACGCGCCGCCGCCGTCTTGTTAATGGGTCGCGTTCCCCTCCGCGCGCGTTATTAATAATAAACGAACCGCGCCAAAGGCTCTCGCAGTGATGGATCGCCGTTATGATCGCGTTTTAATGCCTCTCAAATGGGCGGCGGAATTAATCTTAAGTTTCTTGGCACTCCCCCCGCCCGCTCCTCCCACTGGGATATTTGCACAGGGTTGTTGGTGTACGGTGATTTTTTCTGCAATATTTTGCGGTCTTTTCTTGGATTTTTTGTTTGCACTTAGTCACTTTAAGATGTTTTTTGTTCATGTTTTTGTTTTTTTGTTTGTTGCGGTTGCACCCGATTCAAGAGCCGAATGGCTCACAGGGCTATACCTGATAAACGAATTCTAGATTTGAAGCTTTCGTGACTGCAAGGATTCATACTCTTAGTTCTTTCGGTAAAGTTTTTTTTTTTACCTACGTGACTTTACCGAAAGAACTACGAGTACTAATAAATTAACTTTGAACTTTGAACCCCGGCACACCACGTCCGCTGCACCCCCAGGATGTGTCTGTGGCCATGGCGAGTCGAGTTGCCTGTTGCTGCACATCTCTGGACGGTGGCGGTAAGCCGCTCGGTTTGAGCTGTCGACTGCGATGGCCCAGGGTGGCTTCAGAAAAAAAAATACGAAAAAATTAACCCGTAAAAACAAAGTTTTTCACTATAAATCCTTTATATGCGTGGCGGCTAGAGTCCTCTCGTCCTCTGGCTTGAGATGGCTGCCACCTATTGGTCAGATGATTGCCTGCCACCATTAAGCAATTGGTAATTAAATATAATTTATTTTTTATTAAAAAGTGTAAAAATTTTTATTTTTTTTTCACGAAAATAAATTGTCACGCACAACGAGCCTGTGTGCAAAATGTCAGCTCGATTGGATCACGGGAAGTGGGTTAAAAAACGACCGAAAGATTTGCACGGTCGTAAGCGCGCAAAGCAAGCAAGCGAGTGAACTTAATATAAAGGATTTAAAAAAGATACGTAGCTCAGTGGGGCGGTCTTCTGCTGGGAGAATAAATCGATAGTTGAGTTGAGGTCGCTCAGTCTTGACGAACTGAGACTCTCCCCTCTAT